TCTCTCTCTCTCTCTCTCTCTCTCTCTCTCTCTCCTCCTCCTCTCTCTCGTCTCTCTCTCCTCCTCCTCCCTCCTCCTCCCTCCTCCTCCCTCCTCTCTCTCTCTCTCTCTCCCTTTCTCTCTTTCCAAACACAGATATAAACTGACATTCTCCCATGTATGTTACAGACAGCCATCCCCTAGGTTGTGATGACCTGGTGACAGTCCTGATGTTAGTTCTGTTGGAGGCACACATCCCCACAGTCTCTATCTCTCATGCTCGCTCTGTCTGTCTCTCTCTGTGTCTCTCTTCCCCTCTCCCTGCCCCTCTCTCTCGCCTCTCTCTCTCTCTCTCTCTCTCTCTCTCTCTCTTTACATGTATCTCTGTCTACCTCTAACTCTCCAAACACAGATATAAACTGACATTCCTCCATGTATGTTACAGACAGCCATCCCCTAGGTTGTGATGACTTGGTGACAGTCCTAATGCTGGTTCTGTTGGAGGCCCACATCCCAACAGTCCTCTCCCTCTACACGCAACTGAGGCTACTGGAGGACCTCATGGCGCCATTCCTGGAGACCGGTTGTCATGGTTACGCACTGGTGCAGTTCCAGATGGCCCTGCAGTACCTCCAGTCAAAAGTATGAGGGAGCTGCTGCACAGGTGCACTGCAGTACCTGCTGTTGAAAGTATGAGGGCGCTGCTGCACAGGTGCCCAGTGTGGTACAGGCTGGAACAAACCATGAAGAATTAATTGTAAGGGGTGTGCAGGAAAAGCACAAAAATTTTATGTGTATGTTTGTTTGTTTGTTGGTTGGTTGGTTAGTTGCTTGTTGTTTAAAAAGACCACTCCACAATTGACAAACCATTTCTATTGCAAAATATTTGTTTTGTGAATATTTTGATAATGTAGGTGAGTTTTACCTGCATTTTTAACTGTGCTTAGTGTCAACAATTGCAAACACATGGATGAAAATCCCCACACTTTTCTTTGTTAAGGTACAGTCAAACAAGTTGAACAATTTTTTTTCTGTCACATGATTTTCAGTGAAACTATGACAGAACCAACTGTCAAGATGGATCCACAACAACTTTTTTTGTTTGTTTCCCAAAAAATTATCCTGGAAACCACCTTTACACATAACACACTATTTTTGTACAATAAGTACAGGCTGTGTAAGACTGGACTATAAGGTTTCAACCACACACCCCTACTCTTTTATTAAGTGTGGTGAGTTCGTCAACTTGAGGTGTGGCTTTCCTCAAACTTGCCACCTTTGTCTTTACACCGTATCCAAGAGGATGACCCTAACCAAAGATAGGTACACATTTTCACATGAGTTGAGTGAGGAAATAGGTATATAAAGTGACTTTCCCAGAACCCAGAACCTTCAGCAAGCCTAATAGCCACAAGACTGCATTGCCACCATTTTATGTGGCACGTGTGCAACTATCACAAAACTTTGCTCAATTTCCTGTTGCATGACCTGCGGGTCAGACTTTACAGAGTCCACTGACCGTTCGAACCCTGAACTTGTTTGGGTGAAAATTCTCCCATTGAAGGCCCGCTAAGCAAAGATGACCACAATTGCCTTTTATCCAGAGTTCATTAACCAGCCAGCACTACTGTACATGTATGTTAATCTGTGTACTCTCTCTGAGATAGAGAAAGATCTCTTTGTTGCAGTGGTGTAAGGTAGCACAATGGTGACACTATAAATACTGGGGCCGAAACGTGTTTTGCAGGTGGGTGAAGACAGTTCAACTTGAAGGCACAAAAGGTAGCTTTGTTGAAACGTATGCTGACGTCATCAATGATGATAATATTTGTTTTGTGGTAAGTAAACAATGGTTGTGGGGACCTCTTTAACAAAACTGGATATTTGAACATATGAAGAAGCCGTACAAGCTTACTGATATTTTACAACATAGGTGCCTGGGTTATCTGTAACACAGTTCAGAACTCCTGAAGTTGGCTGGGATTTGAACCTAACCCTTGTTGTTTGTTTTGCATAACTGGTAAAGCACTTACGTCAGACTTACGTTAAGTGCCATTCCTCCTTTGCCACTTAAAACACATCAGCAGCCCAAATGCTCCTGTCTTGCATAGCTAGCCATCATGAAAACCACCGAAACACATCAGTTTGAAATTTTAACTCTCTGAAGTAGCTGTTGGATGGGTGTATCAAGCTTTACATTTTATAAACAAAATTACGCACTGACCTCTGATGTTATATAGCTGACTCTTAAGTAAAAGAAATAAGACAAAAATCCATCGTGCCTTTTCAAATCTCTATATTGGTGTAGGGGATTAGGTGTTGCTAAAGTTTGTAATCATGCCTTAAATTATAACACAGTGTACACTCAAAACAATTATGGTGGTGTTTCTGTGCCTTAACAAGCACTAAAATACAAAATTAATGTTTAAAATGTACAAATGTACATGACAATACTATGTAAATAAGTATACAAAGGCCATTGTCAGTAGAAGTCTTTACATTTAGAGCCAGTATACAAAAAAAGGAGATTTGAGAAAATTTGAAAACTTATGGAAACCAATCCATGCCTTTATCAAATTATGTGTTCATGGAATTAAGCGCATACAGTTGGTACTTGTGATAGATTTTGGCACGTTTTAAAGGTTTGTAAGTGTTTTTCAGTGCAATGAATAGGTGAAACTGTTGCAAACAGTTACTGTTGAGTTGTCCATAGCCAGGGCTTGAACTACCATCTGCATAATATGCAGGTTTAATAGCGCAGGTAAAAATTGGAGCTGTGCAGGTATTTCTGATGTCTACCTGCACCTAACCTGCACTGGGCCATGTACTGGGTTTATACATGTAGATACTTGTAGGTGTATGTGGATTTTTATTTGCTGCATTGACTGTTACCACCTATGAAGTGTAAAGAAATAATGGCAATAGTTTCTGAACAGTTTCAGTATGATCCATACTTCTTAAATTCTAAGTGGTGCAGGTAAAATTTGTCTGGTGCAGGTAATTTTCCATGTTGCCTGCACCAGTGCAGGTATGTAGAAAAAGTATTTCGAGCCGTACTAGTAGATGTTTTATGTTTATAGTTCATTGTGTTTTTACTTCGTATGTTGTTTTTTTTTCTTTGTTTTACTTTAAATGTCTTGAATGCAAGTGCAATGGAGCAAAGTTTAAATGTGTATATATTTTGACCATTAAGAAAATTATGACTAAAACTAGTTTGTATAATGCCAGCTTCAATTATTTGCATACTTTCAATCACGAAGATTATCATCAAGACAAAGATACTAATTGAGTATTTAGTTAATTATTTGAATCGAAGGGAATGCTGACAAAGAAAAGGCTCAGCCTAAAATGCTCAAAATCAATAGAAAATGCAACAGTGACAGTTAACTGTTACAGATTTGTCAGTTAAAGCAGGTTTTAAAAGTCATAAGGTGTAAATTTGTTGTATCTTATATTTGCATTGCGTATAGTTTATAAGATGCTGGCTTTTTGCTTTGGTACATTTTTGTGCATCTGTGCTGTGGAATAAATTTGTGAAACGTTTAAACCATGTTTGACTTTAAACAATAAGTGTAAAGTTCAGTGTTTTACAATAAGGCCATGTTGATTTGATTATATGGATGACATCCGCGCGCGCATGAATTTTCGGCCGTTTCCAAAAAAAAAAAGTTTTCAACCATACTGTAAATCGTACAAAACAGTTGCAAAATGAGCAAAAATATACCATAAGTTACAAAAAAAATGAATAAAAACCATACCAATGTCGTAGAATGCCAAAATCAAACGAAAAAAGACGAAACTGTAAAGAAATGAACTTGAAGACTAGATTATTCGCCAAACCATATTCTGTGCCATTTGCTCAACCCTCATGACCACGTAGATTTCATAATGAAAAGAACTTTTTTTTTTTTGCAAAACTTTTTTTTATTCGCACGCGCGCATCAGTTTTGGGGCTCCCGGAGGATGTCATCCATATAATCAAATCAACATGGCCTAAGATATTGTGAATGCTTATAGTTACTTAATTAAATTTTTAGTTAGTAAGAAAAGTTATTGCATAAAGCTTTTGCATGAAGATTGTCACAACCTCTTTTGGTTTGACAGAACATTACACCAACAAGTGTTTTCGCTTTGTAGCCAAACCCCAAACCTCTGCTTGGAGAGTACAGAAAAGCTCTCAAGTACAACAAGACAGCATGTCTAGCGCACGTACAAAGTGAAAATGACGTTATGTTAGAAAAATTACGCGACTCAAAAGCTCTTTTGCGGTTAGTAATTTGTCCAAGAGGCAGTGGCACATCCTGTTATCGGCGCACACGGTACGTTTTAGCGCTTAGGCCGCAGACTTAACAAAATCAACACTTCTGTGGACTGTAATACTCTCTGCACCAGTTAAAACAAGTATGTGCAGTAAGTACCAACTGTGTGAGACCAAATTGATAGGTTTAATGACCAAATTGATAGGTTTGATGTACTCAAGCCCGGGCACACTCTTATAAAGTTATAGATACGTGTGGTGGGTTCTTTTGGGTGCTTGAGGTTTGGCTCTCCTCAAACACTGGACCTTCCAACTTGACGTCCTATCCGAGGGCGTCCCTAACCACAACTAGGTACCCATTTTCACCTGAGTCTTGTAAGTTCTTTTCCAAAGGTCCCCAAATGAATGGAGCCTTCTAAGGATTTGAACTATAACGACCCTAACCACAAGACAACCTTTTGAAATTCCGCTACCCTTTGTCGATGAACTACATGTAGCTTCGATCGAAGGTCGTCGATTTAATTTGATTTATTGAAATTGCAACAGTGCAATACACGCGGAACAGAGGCAGCTTTTGCTGGTGTTGTGTCCCGCACATAGAAACGAATACAGGGCAGACAATACTCATTTTCACTTGAGTTAAGTGATTAAAGTCGTGTAAAGTGCCTTTCCCAAGAGCACAAGATCGGTGGCACGTCAGGACTCGAACTCGGGACCTCTTGGTTCCGAGTTGAGCACGCTGCCGCTACGCCACACGACCCCACCTAGATTCTAAATCTACCGTATTCTACGACCCTAACCACAAGACCAACTTTTGAAATTCCGCTACGCTTTGGCGAAATTCCGCTACGCTTTGGCGAAATTCTGCTACGCTTTGGCGCAATTCTGCTACCCCACTAGCTTCGGTCGAAGGTCGTCGACCGCCTTGATAGATGGATGGCAAACAGAGTTTTTCCTTCCGGCGGCCCCGTGTAGCACCCGCGACCTGTTTTCAACAAACTGTGTGCAAACCTGACCAAACAGTGCAAACAATGCCCCACCGGTCGTCCTGCATACACCAGAACCCCGCGCGTTACCCTACACAACCACACGGAGCCGCTGTCAGGTCCCAAATCCGCGCGTCTCGCCCTGAATACCGACAAACCACGCCGGCAAACAGTCTCTGACAGTCGGAAACACCGCTGGTTTACTGTGGGTATAACGTCAGAGTCGGACCTGACATGAATCGGCCAGGGTTGAATCCTGCGCTACGTTTTTCCGTGGGCGACATCAGAACGGACCTGAGAATGGACAGGCTGGTGAAGTTTCTGACCGTGTGGCTGGTGTTCGGCGTCACCGCTGTCACCCTACTGCTCCAAGTCACAGGTAAGGAGTCTCACATACACATCTTCATGTCGTAAGACTTCTGTTCTTACTAGGCCGTAGTCTATAAGACACGTACAAATGCCAAACGTTTGTACTTAATAGGCAAAACGTTACTTTTGGCGCGATTTAGGATTAGGGCATTGTAAAGACCAGTCATAGGGATAGGTTGCGCACTACCTTGCTAGTAAGAAGTCTTAGATTCATATCTGTAACGCTAAGTCTTCTGTTCTTACTATGCCGTAGTCTTTAAGACACGTACAAAGGCCTCTAGAGACGTTTGCTAACTTTACCAATACGTTACTTTTGGTGCGCGGTTGGATTGATGCCTTGTAAACAACAGTCATTCGGATAGGCTACGCACTACCTCGCCCAATATGTACTTGTCATTTTCAAATTAATAGCGCAATTAAATGTGAGATGATTGAAACTCACGAATAGGGAGAGCTTTGAGCGCGCCACTCAAGATTTTGTAAAAGATAACAGCTAGCATGAAATCAAGGTTAGACTATAGAGAACTTGGCAATGGTATTGACACACTCCACATGGCTTTGGGATGCTTATATACACAAGTCCAGATGTTTCTAGTTTTGATGTCTGTCTGTGTATAAGTGTGGCTGTCGTTCCTGTAGAGTCTAGACCAAGGCTTGCGTGAAAGCTTACGTACATTATCAAGGGCAATGTTTACAGAAACGTAGTACAAAACGGTCAATCTTTCACAGCTTGTGTCACAGCACGCTTAAGGGCGGTGTAAGATATGTCTACGGTGAACAGCCCCTTTTGAATACACGTCTACAGAATTCTTTACATCCAAATATCTTACCGACATGATTGAACTAAACAGGCACTTCATGTGAACATTACTACTAAGTGTTGTCAGTCCTTCGCCGTAAAGAGAAGAGTTATGAAGTGTAGCTTTACATGTAGTTTTACGCTTTAAAATCTGGTTTAAAGTATAAGTATGATCACTACTGTAACACTACTTAGGATAAAAACTGATTGGTGTATATGTGCGTCCCAGTTTTTAAATTCAGTCATACCAAAGACTAACTAGTACAGCGAAGTGTTTTTCTGAGAGGTAGGGCCTGTAAAATCAATTTGAGTCTAGTTTTACATTCCACAAAATTGTTCAAAGCATGCCACTGATGCCATTGTCGCACTATCTAGTGAGAATGAAAACTAATCAATATATTGTACATGTATGACACGTGCGTCCGACGTGATTTTTCCGGTATCTCCAAATCCAGATGCGAAAAGCCCTGTGCCGTATCCATAGAAACACCCTACATTTATCATTATCAATATATAGGGTTGTCTTCCTTATCATTATAAGCCTACAGATCACATTGTTACCAATCGGGGGCGGTAACTATTGTAATATTACAAGATAGGAGAACTCGTTGACAAGAGATTAGAGTGTTGAACTCCGGACTCCATTCGCTGCCATTTTTCCGAGTGGGTAATCATGTTAATCCCCCACTGTTATAAATGTGTGCCTTAATTGCTACAGTGTCAACTTTGCAACTTAGTGTCCACTTTGTATCGCTTGCAGTGGTCGCGATTATCATGGTACAAGATAAAAAATACAAAGGTCAGTGTTTTTTGGGAGTGGCGAACGCTTTGGCCTTGGACTTTTCACATGTATTCTGCTCCAATTTTAGAAACACTCCGTGCATGGGTTTTCTTTGTGTAATTGTTAGCACGCAAATAACTCGACTTGAATGCCTTTTTTCACGCTACCCGAAAGCGGGGTGCACGGTGCATGGGCTCTTGAAATAGTTCCTCTTTCAACAACCTCTGTCCACTTTTAAGGGTAGTGACTCGACTGAGACCCGTACAACATGAGTAGGGCAAGCGTGCAGGTTTCCGCGTACATTGCATAACTCAAGTAACTTCAAAGGAATCCAGCGACAAGCGATTTTATGGTCTAGTACTCTAAGCTTCTCCTCCACAATCAGAACACCCAGGGCTTATTGTGAAAAGGCGCAATGTTTTTGTTGGCACCAGTTGTGTGTGTACTTCGCAGACAGTATGTCAAACTCTCGGCGCAAAACTTGGCGTCAGAACAAGAAAACAAGTTCCTTATCAAGCCAGCGACTGAGAGCGAAGATAACGTGCTTAAGATACTGCTAGTAAATAAATGTCTTGTTGCTTGGTAGTTATCATAAGTTATTGTCGTGTGTAGGTACAACCTGGCGCTCTGTGTGACAGGTAGCCGAACCAACATACTATAGATTATCTCAAATTTGATAGAGGAACAAAAAAAGCAGTACAGAGCGACACAAAATCTATATATCTGCCATCATGCGTCGAAAGCGACGCATTCATACTCGTTTGTGGGCTGCCCTATTTTAATTGATACATGCCGTAGGATTTTAAAACAGGCTGTGACGTACAGAACCAACCTCCCACAAGGATCAAACACAGCCTTTTCCTTCAAATAAAGCTTTTTCGCGGCTCTTAATTGTTCCTCAAGTGTAGTAGGACTGATTCCTTAAACTTGTAGGCCTCAGGGATTTCAGGTATGAAGATAATTCCAATCCCTGACAGTCCGAGGAAAGTACGAGTATCTGTAACAGTCTTTGTGAAATCACAGTGACATGTAGGAACTCGGGTTGGAGTGTCGTGATTGCAACCGGTAAGCCTTTCCCTCAGACGACTTGTTCCCTGAGCCAAGGCCCCCTACTAGCACCACGCCCCCCTTAAGGTGCACAAAAGGACCCCCAAGACTTGTCACGCCACCCCAAGGCGCGGTTAGCGGAATAAAACCTCCTTAGTGGTTCCTAGAAAAGATCTTAAAGGAACTAACATTATTTCAACGCCGCTATCACAACCCAGACTAACCTTGTTACCGGACTGTTGGGATAGTTACGCTTGAGCGAAGCGTGGTAAAGAAACACACAGTGACGCCACAGCTAGAAACAAACTCAGTCCACGTTTGAAGTAACGCAACGAGTTCATATAGACGAGAGTTATTTTATTGTGGACTGTACTCTATATAATATATAATGAGAGAAAGATATATTCTCTTCAATGGTATACAAGATTATTTCTCCAGTTTTAGATTTTTAGATAGAAAAAAATCTACATTCCTCATGAAACTCGATAATCCTCGTACTATAAGCTCCATCTGTTCTTACATTTACAACTGTCTTAAGAAGCGAGAAGAAGCAGAACCTGTACATATGTAGTTTTGCTATAGATATATTTTAGTCTACCATCGCTATTTGCCGTGACCTGTACTTAGTTTGCAATGAGCAAAAATGTACAATAAAGGTCATCCATTCATTCATTATCACCAAGTTTAGTGAATTTACAGTGTTAGTAAACGTGTGTAAGGTAGCGTCAAAACAGCTTAGCGTAATTGGCTTAAAGTTCCGACGCTAGCTCCCACACTTAAAACTGAAGAGGCTGGGCAAGAGGAAATAGGCGTAAACTAGTTAGGAGACCTTTCTGGGTTGATAATACCTCCCTATATGCATTGGAGTATACGTGTATGCACTTTAGTAAACATATGTAACAGAACGTCAAAACAGGTGGTGATATAATTGGCTTAAAGTTCCGCCGCTGGTTCCCACACTTATAAAAACCCTTTCAGAAAAAGGTTAAACGAAAGAATGTAGATGTAACCCAGTTAGTAGACATTTCTCGTTAATATGAGTCATTCGCATTGCGTAGATTTGGAGTAAACATAATTTAGTAAACGTGTGTAAGGTTAACATAATTGGCTTAAAGTTCCGACACTCAACTCCCACACACATTAAAACTGAAGAGGTTGGAAGAAATGAAAGCAGGTATAAATCAGTTAGAACTAATAGAAGCCCTCCTTGTGTTGAAGGTACCTTCCCATGCCTAATTACACGTTAGAGGGCCCTGTGACATGTGGGAGAGCATGGCCCATTCTCAGTACCATGGTGAAAGGTAACAGCCCCTGTCACACTTTTAGAGCGTTCCCTCGAACACCAACCATAATCTCCAATTCAACCCAAGGGATGGCGTATGGACCCTCCCTGACGAATGGATACTGCCTGCCCAATTTTATACTGTATTTTGCCACCCTAGGATCTGCTTGGAAATTTCACCAACCAACCATGGTTGGCTGAGTTTAAGGGACAGTCTGACCAGATTTAGGCCAGGTCTACTTTTCTATACAAATCGAATCGAAGTTGAGTTACATTTGAGTCAAATTTGACCTCAGAACACTGCCTACCTACTCCCGAACACTAGCCAACCACGGCACAACCTCCCGTCCACGCCCGAAAGCTTTTTAAAATTATTTTAAAACATTCGCCTGGCGCAGCCGAACAGTGGCCGACCACAGCCAACCTTTGAAACTTTGAAATTATTGCGATACCACATTGCGGACTTACCTCTGAATTGAGTATGTATTTACAATCAAAGTGTTATACTTAACTTTCTACTACTCAGTCATTCTACACCCAAACCATGGTTGGATGGAGTTCAGTAGTACTAGTGTTTGAGAGACCATATTCGGCTATGTATGACAGGGGTTTTAAGGTATGTACGGAGGATAGCACCCGGGCTAGGATTCCGTGTTGAAAGGTAAAGGTACCTGACCGCACCAGACACGGTACAACGCTTTCGCCTGAGGGGAACAGGAAGCGATCACAGGTCAGCGAGAAAACAACACAGAAACAACACACTCAGGGCACCCGGTGTTGAGCCAAATCCTTGCGCTGCCACATACGTGAGAGTTCAGGTGTTTAGGGCTAGGGTTGGTATCAGAGTTAGGGTTAGGGTTGGTATTAGAGTTAGGGTTAAGGTTAGACTACGATTAAGGTTAGGTTTAAGGTTTAGTCTCCCACATCACGACTTAATCCCTCGCACCCATTGTCTCAGGTATATTGGGAACCCCCAAGTATTGTCGGAGTCATGTATTTGGCAGGATCATGTATATTTGGCTTGGCACCGGTGCATCTGTCGTGCAGACAGGTTTGAGAAGAATAATGGAGGGCATTCCTAGGCCAGTCGTGGGTGTGTGGTATAGAAAATTCAACTGTCAGGAAAGTTCATCTGTGTTTAAAGTTAAAACTTTTGTTCCAACACAAGAGTGTTACATACCACATGTAGCATTGAACTATGATATAATTGTTTAGTTATAGTTTCACACTTTGGAACGTTTAAAACATTGACGTAACTGCACTCTAGCCGTAGCGCATTCTGACATATTTTAAAACATCCTGTTCCAAAATGCCATTCCAAATTTAACTACCTGTATCATCATTATGACAAACTACTAGTACATAGGGCTGCGTACCTAAACGTAACATCAGGTACAGGTACAGGTACTGGTACAGAGGTTTAGGTACAGGTCCGGACCTGTACCTGTACCTGAACAATTTGACAAATTAACACGTGTTCTTCACTTTTTCAATCATGACACAGAAACAATAATAAAGTGTTGGAGGGAAGGGAAAATGACTGACCTCTGACCTGATTTGAGTTTGTTGACCAATCACAACCCTGGATCAGCCACACTCTCGCGATGTCTCGTGAGACTGAGGATCTCAAATCAATCGACGGTGTTTACGTCTTTTCCAGTGCTAATTTTTCGTCTTTGTGGTAGGATTTACCTATTTTTAGTCATATACATGGTGTAAACTAGCTATTTCGGTATATACTCGTTACTTCATGATCCGGTATTTTGGACCTGTACCGAAACGATTTTTACGGTATTGGACCGGTACATTGTACCGGTCCGCAGCCCTACTAGTACATCATCTGTACCTGTATCTGTATATCCGGTATAACCACCCTTCGGCGTAACACACATCATAATTGTTGAGTTATAGTTTCCCACTTTGTAACGTTTAAATCGTTGACATAACTTTACAGTAGCGTGGCATATCCTGACATATTACTCATTACAGAAGCATTCATGACAAATCTCCACTCATATAAGACATTTCCTCCCCATTGTGTGGGCCGTTTCAGCTGTGTTCAGCCTCCAGTCTTAAGAGCACGTATTTTTGATCACACAAACTTCATTCTTTTATGACGAGAGCCGCTCCGAGGGCACAACTGTGCACACACAACATTCACACGGGCTGTGTACTCAGCTCCGGCCACTACCTGCGACTAGGTTTGAATTGTGGTGTTTCTAGGAGCCGGGCCCGTCTCTCAATAGAATGTTTGGGACAAGAGGTTACCTCGCCAATTAGGTAAAGGAAGGGAAGGGTGCTCCAGGTAATTGTGGCGAGGCTTTGTTGTTGTTACAGTTTGTAGCAACCGATCGTTAGAATCGCATCAAAGGGCGCGAAATTGTGTTGTTAGGCACGTCTAGTGGAGTCGTAAATTACACCTTAGCAAGCTAGGGGGTCTGGAGAAGTCGGGTCTTAAGGGATCAGTTTGCGAAATCATAGTGCTGTGATGCTTAAACACCACCGTTTATAATGTAGTGCAGCATTCATGATACTGACACTAAATACTTATACTTGTGAAGTAGTTAATAAGGGCGCGAAATTGTGTTGTTAGGCACGTCTAGTGGAGTCGTAAATTACACCTTAGCAAGCTAGGGGGTCTGGAGAAGTCGGGTCTTAAGGGCTCTGTGTGCGAAATCGTAGTGCTGTATGTAACTACCGTTTAAAATGTAGTGCAGCATTCGTGATACTAATACGTATGATGTACTGTTAATCATATATACTGATAGTTATGATGTACAGTTATATAACTAATAAAGTCTCATTTGGCGAAATAGCACTAGCAGTGTGTGTAACGCTTAAGCACTGACACAGGTTCTAATGTGGTGCAACATTTCATGACGCTAATACTAAATACTAATACTTATGATGTAGTTAATAAGGGTGCGAAATTGTGTTATTAGGCACGTCTAGTGGAGTCGTAAATTACACCTTAGCAAGCTAGGGGGTCTGGAGAAGTCGGGTCTTAAGGGCTCTGTGTGCGAAATCATAGTGTTGTAACTACCGTTTAAAATGTAGTGCAGCATTACGTGATACTAATACGTATGATGTACTGTTAATCATATATACTGATAGTTATGATGTACAGTTATATAACTAATAAAGGCTCATTTGGCGAAATAGCAGTGTGTGTAACGCTTAAGCACTGACACAGGTTCTAATGTGGTGCAACATTTTGTGACGCTAATATTAAATATTAATACTTATGATATAGTTGATAATGGCCCGAAATTGTGTTGTTAGGCACGTCTAGTGGAGTCGTAAATTACACCTTAGCAAGCTAGGGGGTCTGGAGAAGTCGGGTCTTAAGGACTCATCAGTTTGCAAAATCGTAGTGTTGTGATGCTTAAACACCACCGTTTATAATGTACATTCATGATACTGACACTAAATACTTATACTTGTGATGTAGTTAATAAGGGCGCGAAATTGTGTTGTTAGGCACGTCTAGTGGAGTCGTAAATTACACCTTAGCAAGCTAGGGGGTCTGGAGAAGTCGGGTCTTAAGGACTCTGTGTGCGAAATCGTAGTGTTGTAACTACCGTTTCAAATATACTTATACAGTTGATGTACAGTTAATATATATACTTATACTTATGATGTACAGTTATATAACTGATAAAGGCTCATTTGGCGAAATAGCAGTGTTGTGTAACGCTTAAGCACTACCACAGGTTATATATAATGTATGGCAGCATTTAGTGACACTAATACTAAATACTAGTACTTACGTAGTTGATAAAAATCTAATGTGCTGAGTTATATAGTTGATGAATGGCTTGGCGTGCGAAATTACAGCATGTGACGTTTAAGTACTACCACCGTTTATAATGTAGTGCAACATTTCCTGACACGTATACTAAATGCTTATACTTAATGATAGAAAAATCTAATGTGCAGTTATGTAGTTGATGAAACGATTGTTACAATGACTAGTCATTAAACAATTGATGGCAATTAAATTAAACAATGACAATGGCAATGCATTTTATTGCATATCCATGCCCCATTGGGGTTAAGTGTATTGAGTTAGTTATAGGGGAGTAACAGAGAAACATTTTACCTTACATAATTCCCCTTTAATCCCACAATTTGTACATAGCAAACTCTACCCACGGTAGCCGGTCTACATACTGTATTTGTATCTGTATAGCCGGTATAACCGCCTTTCGGCGTAACACACCAGCTTCGCAGGCACGTGGCGCGGCGGCAGCTGGCTACATTACACCGATCGACTTGTTACACCTAGCCCTTGAACATCTAGACATTGTTTAAAGCTATCTAATGACAATGCCCATACTGTACTTGGTGACAGCGAGTTCCACTCTGCAATAGTTCTAGGAAAGAATGAATTCTTGAACACCTCAATCCTTGGTTGATAACTATGGTACTTGAAGGCATGGCTATTTCTTGTTCTCTTCTGGGCTGGTATTAGGTACTTAGTAGTTGGTACTCTGCTACTTGAATGCATGGCTATTTCTTGTTCTCTTCTGGGCTGGTATTAGGTACTTAGTAGTTGGTACTCTGCTACTTGAATGCATGGCTATTTCTTGTTCTCTTCTGGGCTGGTATTAGGTACTTAGTAGTTGGTACTCTGCTACTTGAATGCATGACTGTTTCTTGTTCTCTTCTGGGCTGGTATTAGGTACTTAGTAGTTGGGACGTCCACCAGTTTTATTAGTCAGTTTGTACACCATGCAAAACTTCTACCGTTCTACCGTCAATGTTGACCATCGTGTCCTCGACCTTCAGAACGCCAGGGTTGTTGGCGTGTCTTTTTGAGTGGACAGTCGTTGATATGCACTGAAACAGAACCAACATGCAAATATTTTCGTGAGAAAGGACAAAAGACTTTTGTGCTAAGCGATCTTGACAGAAGAAAAAATACGGGCGCGTGCGTCTGAATAGCAATGACCTAGCAGAGCAATAAGATAAGAATGTTGTCCGGTTTTGTCCGTGAAATTGAGACAAGGCAGTGACTTATTGTCCGTTGAACTTGTAGAAGCTTACTTCATGATCTTGCATGTGTTTTTACAGGACCACCTGGTGTTAAGTGTTACGCCGCCTACTGCCGGCCGCAGAACTGCAGTCTGTACGCTCTCCACGCAGCCCAGTTTGCGGAGGCGTCCTGTCTGTCCAGCTCTGTCCAGCCGCCTGTTTCCCGACCAGACGGACCACTGAACCAGTACCTGATCCCTCTGGCCTTCTTCATACAGGCGGTTCTGTGCTACCTGCCGCATCTTCTGTGGGATATATTCGCAGCGGAAAAGTTGAAGGCAGCGCTACTCGGCAAAAGGCGAAGCCGAAGTCATCACTCCTCCAAGAAAAAGGTCTACTTGAAGAAAGTCGAGCCACGCCACCTAACGGATCTGAAAGAAACTACACACGGCAAGCGTCCTGCGACTCCAGAACTGAAGTTCAAAGTCAGAGAGAGAAGCACTATCACGAGATACTACCGTCTCAGAGAGGTTGTCACAATGCTCTTGCTCATTTTCTTCCTCTTGTACTATTGCCTGTGCCCCGTACATCGTTTAGAAAACATCTATGATTCTTTCGTGTGCATCGTTCACGAGATACCAGTGACCTGTTCTCTTGGATCCGGACAGACGTTACGTATGGCCTGGATCATCAACATCACCATCCTGATCACGGGAACTCTCGTGCTGCTGTACCACGTGATCACCACGTTCCTGTGGCACGACGGGAAGGTCGGCTTCGAAAATGGCGGCGGCAAGGGTTCGAAACACCACCACAGTAGAGAAGCAGCCTACGCCGAGGAGCAGCTAACACAAGCGTGGGACGCGTGTGGTACTGAGTTAAACGGTTCTGCGAGCGACACAAAACTGTTGGCCATGTTTTCAGAGTCAAATCCTGGCCTTTTCATGGGCTACGGGAACGTCAAACTTGCAAAATCTACTGTATAAAGTTTTGTACAATGTTTTTAAGAATTTTCTAGAATTTTGTACAGTTTTTGTTTCTTTAATGTTTGCATAATTTGTATAACGTTTAGCTACTTTATTCATGGTCAGTAAACCATAATTACAAATCATCAGAAAGTAAACTTCTACCTGTAAGTTGTGCTTCATTTAAGAAGTGCACGGACAAGGGCAACTATACTACTGGTACTTGTTCTATCCCAGTTTTGAGTTGTGTACACATAAACGTCAAACAATTTTTACAATTTTACAGATTTACAATTTTGATAAAGAATGGAACAACTATAGTAACTTTGTAGCCGCTGGTGGTGTCTTTTTGTGTTTCCGTTTCTTTCATTGCATCTTCTTCTGTATCTGTCTAGCTGGTATTTTCTTAAGTTTACCTTGCGGGATGCTTGGCAAATTGCCATTCAAAAAAGCTTTTACTTCTACTCCGTGGGCATTGTATACCGTCAGGGATATAAAAACATTTGAAAACTGCAGGGGAAGAACGGTTCAAAGATTTATACCTGTTTACACCATTTTTCAACTAGAAGCTGCGACCGCAGAGCAACTCATTTAATTTCATAGAGCGACTCACAGGGCGACCCAGTGAGTTTCATAGATGAACGAATTTCTCATCTTTTAATGACCCTTTGTTGCCTTTCAATCATACTAAAACAACATATTCCAATTATAGAATCAAGGTCGCACATACAAATCCAGGTTTGCATGATTGTTTAACGCTCGTTCGCTTCAGAACCAAGAGGTCCCGGGTTCGAACCCTGCTATGCCACCGATCTTGTGACCTTGGGAAGGGCACTTCACACGACTTTTCTCCCTTCATTCAGGTGAAAATGAGTACCGTTACATTGCTCTCTGCGTTGGTGACGGTATAAAAATAGGTGTGTACCGTCACCACGTCTTGTGATTAAATGTTGGAATAAATAAAACAAAGCCTCATGCAGCGATAGTTGGCACCCGTAGGCACTCCGTAGGCATGTATGACAGACGTGATGACGCTAAAACACTGTAGGTATCGAAAGATTACGAGATTTACCGCTGTTCAGATGGAGAGATATAGCCTTACATCAACTTACGTCTGACTTGTTTTGTTCATTCATGAGGCATTAAACAAAATAAGTTGACAAGACAAAGTAGCGAGATATCAAAACCTAGAAGTCAACTTATCAATAATATCTGATCGTAATATTCATCGTATTTCATTACTTGTGTCACAAAGCCGCTTTGAAGCACATAATCTTGTCATTTCATCATTTGAAACACGCCCCTCAACATACAAAATGTCATACAGATCCATCCACAACTTTTTGAGTTATGCTGTTCACGAACAGACCCTAAAACATACTTTCTGTATCTGTATAGCCGTTATAACCGCCCTCCGGCGTACCCAGCTTCGCAGGCACGCGGCGCAGCGGCACTAGCTACATTACACCGAGCGACTTGTCACACACAATCTTTGCACATTTAATTGCAGGAGTTGTTTAAAACTTTCTAGTGATGACGCTCCAACTGTGCTTGGTGGCGACGAGTTCCACTCTACTATAGTTCTTATAAAATACGAGTTTTTGAATACCTCAATTTTGGTTGATAACTTTGATATTTGAAGGCATAACTGTTTCTTGATCTTTTCTGGGCTGGTACGATCAGATGCTTACTAGTAGGTACGTCCACTTTTGTATCGACTGCGGGTTTTGACCTAGTGTAGAACAAACAGGTGCACATGGGCGTACATGTACAAGAGGTTATTACGGTTCTTCCGGAGCTTGATTGTCAATTATCCTGGCCTGACTACCCTCCTCCCTGACCCTGGTAACCTGGCCGCTAATGGTTAGTCAGGGTACTGCCCGGGTGGATTTGTACATGGCATTCCTTTTGATTTTTCGTGTGCATCTCTTCACTTGTGCTGGGCGTATTTAGCCTCTACCAGGCTTGGGGAGGCAGCTGGAAAGAGTAGAAATCGGTCAAATAGAGAGATAACATGCCGAGGGAGTTGGTCCGCGGCAAAATGTAGTCTCTAGCAGACCAACTCCCTCGGCATGCTATCTCTCTATTTGACCGATTTCTACTCTTTCCAGCCGTCTCTCGAAGCCTGGTAGCTAATCTAGGGCGTAACCACCACCTCCTCACACACACACACACACACACGCACACATACAGAAAGAGAGAGAGATGCAAATACACCAGGTCCTGTCCTTGGTGCTGAACACTATGTGCACACTCATACCCGCGCATTTTATGTTTCGACTAACGGAATATTATGTTCCCCAAAGTTTGAGACCTTCTGGCAACAAAAGAAATGGTCAAATCCTGCATCCGGCTGCTTTTGGCTGAAGGCCTAAAAAGATTTTGAATATCTGCGTAGCTTAGAGAACTGCACACTAAAGAAGGTCGATTTATGGGAGAGAAAATTATAGCGATAGTACACACTGGAATGGCCTGAAGAAATGCGTTTCTAAAACCACCCTGCGAGGCGAGGTTTAAACATACTTTACAATACATTTTGATTGATTCTATTGTAACTTATGAAGGATGGTATAAAGCTTTATATTTCATAAAATGGAGACTATGCCGGACTGGGAGGGTGTGGAACAGTCTACAGTGACTATTCCTGATCTCAAAAGTCCTAGATATGATATTCCGACTACTATTCCATAACCAATGAAATTTTATAATTCATGATAAGATATATTTATATTTTATCATAATTCTCCCATTTTATAAACTGATATTACATTCATACAGTGCTGTACCTCTGTATTAGGTAATGGATGTAGTGAACTTGCACACCGTGATTGAACGTGAGGTATGCAAAGTTTTAAATATATTCCTGGTTTTAAGACATCCATAGACCATCACCCTACATTGAACCGCGACGGGGGCCGACATCGTCTATCAGATACCTTTGACCCAGTGTTGACGTCACACTTCAAAGAAGCCACGTGACAAGCTTCACTGGGTCAGTCTACTGAGGAGGACCAGAGTGACTGGTCGAAAGCTCTAGGTGAGAGAATTTTTTGTGTTGGACCAAAAGTCTTAACTTTAAACATGTAACTACCAACACAGATGAACTTTTATGACATCCATAGACCCGATACATTTTTGGGTTCGTCTGAGGAAAGAGCAATTTGACGCCAAGGACAAATATAGAAACGGGGATTTTGCTTGATTTGCCCAGTTTTAAGACATCCATAGCCCCGATACATGCTAGGATTTGTCTGATGAAAGAGCAACCAAGGACAACTCTTAAATATAGAAACGCTGATTTTGCATGATCTGATACCGAAACTTTCTGCCGTCAATTTACAGGATCAAAATCTAATCCAATCGTACCTTCTTTCTCCAGATGTGAATATTTATAAAGAGAGAGATGTGTAAATAGACAATTTTGCCTGGAGGACTTTAAGATATCTAGAAAACAGCCGTTATCTACAATAAAGGCCGTTAAATTGTAGTTTATTTTTGTCTCGTGCCTTCGCCTCAAAAGTGGCTACTTAATAACCCGTACCTTGAGACCCAGTATGCTTAGCTTGCAGTAATGCCTGTTTTTAGGGAAGACTTCTAAACGTAGCGACTCCATCAAGCTAACTGCCTCAAGTTGCCATGTACCTAAGCCATGTACACAAATCACGTCCATGTAAACTGCGTTCTTGTAGCCTGGAGTAACCGGGAAAACATACCCGGTCTCAGACGTAAGCCACAGCCGCCAGCAAGATAGCTGTTTCAAACATTGATATGTACCAAATACAGAAATCCCTACCCTCAAAGCATTGAGTGGGCAGGGATTTGTAATAGGTAAGTGATATGTCATTTTTCTATTAAACGTATCTGTATCTGTATAGCTTGTATAACCGCCCTTCGGCGTAATACACCAGCTTCTGTATCTGTATAGCCGGTATAACCACCCTTCGGCGTAACACACCAGCTTCGCAGGCACGCGTCGCGGCGGCAGTTAGCTTTATCACACCGAATGACTTGTTGCACTCAATCTTTGCACATTAAATTGCAGGAGTTGTTTAAAACTTTCCAGTGATGATGCCCCAACTGTGCTTTGTGGCAGCGAGTTGCACTCTACGATAGTTCTTGGGAAATACGAGTTTTTTAGCACCTCAATTCTTGGTTGATAACTCTGATATTTGAAGGCATGACTGTTTCTTGTTCTTTTCTGGGCTGGTATCAGATACTTAGTGGTTGGTACGTCCACCAGTTTATTAGTCATTTTATACATCATGCATAGTGTGGACATTTTTCAGACCACAGACGTCTTGTGGTAGTGAGTTCTAGACAAGTGAATTAGAGACAGAGACTATGGGCCTCATGTATATGTCTCTCAAGGGCCTGGGTACCACTAGGAGAAGTACTTAGTCAGGTGCTCTGGGTAGCTCTGCCCCTGTAGTAGGTGAACAGTCGGCTATTCAAGACCAATTATGCTTCATGTCTTCTAGAGAGGGCCGCCTATTATGATGCTTTTAAACTACTAATGTATCGTCCAAGGGGTGCTAGATAGCAGCGGCAAGCTGTTTTGTGTATACTTTCGTGCTGACACCTTCGACGCCAGGCAGTGTGAGTTGGCGCACTGTAATTGTCCTCTGGGATCTGGAAACAGTATTGTACACACGCAGTGCCTCGCCCGCGCATGAATTTGCGGCCGTTTAAAAAAAGTTTTCGACCATACTATAAATCGTAGCAGCAGCTAAATGATTAGATATTTGCCATAAATTAAAAATATTGAAATATTGGAAAACGATGCTAATGCCATAGAATTCCAAAGGAAAAGAAGGAAATGTGAAAAAAGGAAAATGAAGAGTCTATTTTTCTGCCATACCATATTCTGTGTGTTCTCTGTGACATTTGTTCTACCTTCATGACTACATAGATTTCAATTCTTTTGCGACTTTTTTTTTCATTCGCACGCTCGCATCAGTTTTGAGGTTCCCAGAGGATGTCTTCCATATAATCAAATCAACATGGCCTTACAGTACCTTAAGTTAATGGTGTAGTTGTACTGCCCAGGGTCCATAACGGCAAAGCTTGAGAGTCAGGTTCTTAATGGAGTCACCAGAGGCTTCGGCAAAGTGGCTTCCGGTGATCCGCGAACTCAGCGCGTCTTCTATCATGATTTGTATTGGCAGCAGGAGGTCGCTATACCTGACTCTGATTCGTGAGGACGGTTAAAAAGACTGAAAACAATTACCTTCGCCTAGGTTATGTTTTCATGTGTGTGTGTGTGTTTGTGTGTGTGTTTGCGTGTGTGCGTGTGTGTGTGTGTGCGTGCGTGCGTGCGTGCGTGTGTGTGTGTGTGCGTGTGTGTTTTTTGTATGCAAAGCATTCAGCACTAAGGACAGGACCCGGGATACTAGACTCTCTCTCTCACGCGCGTCTTCTATCATGATTTGTATTGGCAGCAGGAGGTCGCGAACTGACTCTGATTCGTGAGGGCTGGAATTTTGACAGTTAAAAAGACTGAAAACAATTACCTTCGCCTAGGTTATGTTTTCGTGTGTGGGGGTGGGGTGGGGGGGTGGATAGTGTTCAGCACAAAGGACAGGACCTTTTTTGTGTGTGCAAGTGTGTGTGTATGTGGGGGTGGGTGCGTGAGCGCTCGTGTGTGTGTAGATAACACAACGCTGGCTTCTATTCAAAATACACGTACGAGGAAAATTTCTAGTCGTTTCTGTGGAGGCAGTTCAACAGGATACCAGGATATAGCCTTGAAAAGCAGTCATCTAGAGTAACGGTCACTCCGAGTAAATTACTAGTATTTCGGTCCAGTTTCAGTCAAGTGAGCGCGCGCGCAAAGCATTCAGCACCAAGGACAGGAGCCGGAGTACTATTTTCAATGGCTCAACAACCATATAATCATTTCACGATGGTGATGCATGTAGTCTCATACACACATGTGTTGAACTCCAAATGAAATCTATGACTACGATTTTAGTAATTAAAATGCAATATACTTTCATAACCCGTATCACACGTGTTTCTGTATCATTAAATGTTCAATGAATTATGAATGCTGAGCATTATAATATAAGCCTCATTTCCATCACTGATTATCCGTAATTTTAACCTTAAGTTGGAAAATTTTAGATTATCTTACATCTTCCAGTACTTACGTCTTTCTTATGATTAATAATCATTGACAATACGCACATTTCGACACCCATCATAAAAGTAAAATCCATTGGAATTGGTACCAAATTAAAGCCTACTCCAAACGCCTGAGTTTAGGAGATAGCGTTGTCTGGTGTACATGGTTGCCTGTCATAATCCTACCTACTTCTGCTGAAAATGTGAAGGTTATTTGGCACCAGCATTTAAATGTTAAGGTTTACATACAATGGTTATAACGTGTTACGGCAAATGTTGTGTGAAACATTTGCCGTAACATTCTCCAGACAGTTGTTACCTGTCTCCTGTTACTGTATTGCAATGAGTAGTATAAATGATTGTAAAAGCAATTAGCCTTCGGGTATGATTTTGGAAAATAAAGTTTCACTAATAATTAATTCTATCACAATTGTGTATCAGTCGGATCTTTTGTATGCGACGATGTCTTGCAACAATTTCTGTTTCAGTGCATTCCGTGCTATTCAAAATCTACATGTATCTTGGTTTGATCGTATTGCTTCATATTTTGCGCCAATTCGTTTATCTAATTTGATCCCTTTCGTTCCCTTTTTGGTATCTTTTACGCCATTTAGCACTCTGCCTAGAACATAGCATTTCATATTTACATATATCTACATATTTCATATTTACATATATCTACTATAGAATATATTCGGACACGAAGCCAAGCCAAGAGACAAGAGATATCTACTCACAAAGCGAATGTTAAACCCAAGACGAATTGAATTGTGTTTCCATAACTCCATTGCGCAAGTCGTAGGCGCGGCTCACCGAATCACATGCGCGTGCGAGCTCAGACCGTGATACCCGTGTTTGGTAAGAAGTGTACTCTGTACTCGCAGTCCAGATTCCATCCTTACAGAGGTATCTTTAACGTTGTTGATATAGAACGCTATAGCCTTTCGTCTTAACTGCTTACTCAAGGTATTTGCAGGAAGCGGTTAGGCTCCTTTGTTCCGTATGAAGCTGTGAGGGCTTCGTTGCTTGGTGTTGCTTTTTTTCCAGAAGAAGTCGGCGACTGTTTCTTAGAAATCACTTGCGGTGTGGTCACATCCGTCGTTGGTCGTAGTAGTATTTTGATGCCGTGAGGCTGTGATGGAACCAACCGCCTACAAGGATCTAAGACATTTCCGCGACATCGTAGCTGAATTTTGTACGACATATGTACAACCGTCTCAAGAACGTCTTCCGTTCGCGAACCTCTCCAAGCAGAGGTTTGGGTTTCGGCTTATTTTTGGCGCTAACGTAAAAAAAAGATACTAGTGCAAAAAAGAAAAGCCCGATAGAGAAAAGCCTAAAAACACGCCAAAAATAAGTCAGAACCCAAACCTCTGCTCGGAGAGTAACCGGGCCTTTGAATGTGCCGTACATGAGCTTGTTTTGCTGAATATGTTTTTGTATGTGCGCATTGATTAGTCAAGAGACCAGCCGGAGCCAGTCTGTAACCATGGCGAACGGCAGTCGGGAGGACGAACAGACGGTCTCGGATTTTCTGCCAACTCAGAACCAGACAGCAAACGTCTCCACCCAGGCAGGGGGGAGTCTGAAGGGAACCATCTACTCCTTATGGCAGGTATGGATGTTTGTCTGTCTGTCTGTGTGTGTGTTTGTTTGTTTGTTTGTTTACTTCTTCGCACTTAAATAAGATGATCTACTCCTTATGGCAGGTATGGCTGTTTGTTTGTGTTTTGTTTGTCTGTTACGTTCTGGATGGAAGTATTCAATGTGAATTTGAGGGGATTCATTCCTCAGCTAACCGACATCTTGTACTGACTAGATCAGAGCACTACGAAGTCATGTAACTGATCAGGGCATTATGCACTGGAAAGGTATGTAAGTGAGAACTTCATGTTACTTGTGTCATTTAGCCTCTGTACACTTGAAGAAGACACAGATGAAACAGGTCGTGTGACAGGCTGAATAAAAGTTCTAAACGGGAACTATGCGGCTCCAGATGTCTTACTGAGGGACGACTGTGTGTGCAAGATGTCGGTTAGCTTGAGGAATGAATCCCCTCGAATTCACATGGATGGAATTATTGTTTTGTGAAGCGCTGGTGTAAGGTTTTTGCATGTTTGAGTTTCAGAGTTAGAAACATTAGAAGGATTAGATGGTGTAAGAGCAAGTTGAGTCATACAACCGTATTAGAGTGAGTGGGCGGAGATTGGATTTCAGATGATTGACAGTGTTGTGGCCCAGTATGTCTTGTGTCGTAGGATGTCACCAGGAATGTATACTGTATAATGATGGAGTGAAATATAAATTCAACAACATAGAGAGAGCACAGTACAATATAAGGAATATAGCGAGATTGTTTGGCGCAGTTTATTAGAATACCGTCTTCCAAATGAATTAGACTTCTACTCAGACTTGGCTCTCGGAAGGAAATTTCAAATGCAGGATCCTTGACATAACTTCTATTGCTTCTATCGGCATAATATGAAAGGTTATAATATCAAAGATTGGATATATCTAGCCTTTATTGTACATTGATGCCCTATTAGGCTAAGTACAGGCATACGCAGTAGTGAAGTACATATATTATATCGTCAGTGCTTGTAATAATAAACTAATACATGGGTCCTTGAACCAATCTAATACAAAGGTTAGGCTTGATGTTATATGTGTAGGTGGATGTGGGCTTGATTGGAAGGCAGAAAAACGCATAAGAAATATTCATTTTTCAGTACTAGTCATACATTCAAAATTAGCAAACGTTTCTACAATATGGGTAGAAATAATATTTCTATCTATACTACGTAAACTATAATAAACTGGACTTCATCCTCTTTCTTATTCGAGTGTCAAATTGACAAACCCTTTGCAACACAAGTTTCAAACATGTTGCAACCCAATCTGCCACAAAGTGGCCATGAACCAAGGTTAACAAATCTAGTGCCGTGTTCTAAAGCGTTTCATACTACAAAGCAGCTCTAAGCCTTGAATGCCTTCTCACATTAAGCCTAATGTAAGATTTGATGGTACAGAACCATTCAATTTAAGATTAGCCAACATAAAGAAGCGAATATCTCATCCTATCAACCAATTTAGCCTAAAACAGACGTATTTCAAGCACTCGCCAGGGGCGTTTTGTACTCCCCTACAAGATACCTACTGCTGAATCATACCATTCTAAAACATACTGTCTTTAAATCGCTTTCCGTTAAACGTTCGCAAGGGACTAATACTCTCTTAAGTTCTGCACTTACCTCGCTAGTAAATTGTCAATTGCCATGAACTAGCAATAAAGCTGCCACTAACTGACACACAGAGGGTATATCTTATAGATTCCGCTTATACCTTTGCCATTTTGAGCGTTATATGTTGTGTTGTTGCCCCTTGATGTGCGGATAGGTTGGCAGTTCTTGCGGGTGTTTGCGTCATATCACATCAGGTATCAACCATGACAGATACAGCTCTTTACTTTACTGCCAATTTGTTTGGGCCCTATCGTCTTCGATATAGTAATATATGGAAGATATTTGATCTCTCACTGGCTGTTGACTGAAAATCTTCAGGTTCTGGGTTCGAATCTCACTTTACACCTATTTTCTCACTCGACATAAGTGAAAATTAGTACCTAGGTCTAACGTCCTTGATAGTGATATATGAACGATATTTGATTCGCTGACACAAAGCGTTTAACATCTCTCACTGGTTGTTGACTGAAAATCTTCAGGTTCTGGGTTCAAATCCCAGTGTTCTATCCTAGGGAAATGCACTTTACACCTATTTTAGTACATAGGTCTAACGTCTTCGATAGTGATATAAGGAAGATATTTGATTTGTCTATAGTATACATATAGTATATATATCCTCAAGCTACCGACATCTTGCACACGCAGTTGTCCCTCAGTAAGACATCTGGAGCCGCATAGTTCCCGTTTAGAACTTTTATTCAGCCTGTCACACGATATTTGATTTGCATTGAACATCTCTCACAGATTGTTGACTCAGAATCTGAAGGTTGTGGGTTCGAATCCCTGGCAGGCTGTAGTGTTATTATTTTTTTATTCATTCACATATATTTATTGAGTATTAGGCAAAAAGCACAGAGTGCTTATGTATATGTGACGTCTTCTACTCAAGGCTTCAGTGTTTTGCCCCAGGAAAAGGCACTTTACATCCATTTCCTCCCTCGACAGGACCCGACTTAGATGAAAATAAGTTAGCTCGTCTTTTATTTGCAATTAGCTCTCAGGAAAAAGTTTGCAATAAACACAGAAGGTGGGGACCAAGTCTCTCATCTCGACTTCGCCAGAGGCAATATTGTACCCACTGTGCAGTAGGACTGCAATAGTGTTGTGGTAATAATAGTGGCAACATTTCATCTGTATCTGTATAGCCGGTATAACCCCCCTTCGACATAACACCCCAGCTTCGCAGGCACGCGGCGCGGCGGCAGCTGGCTGCATTACACCGACTAACCCGTTACACCGTGCCACGAATTTACTCTACATGTATGTTTGCTACTTTCTTTTAAGAATTGTCGAGAAGTCCTGAAAGACTAGTGGTGTGGCCTCGGGCTAATGTTGCGCCCTCGGAAGAAGGGGTGTGCCCTAGGGACAAGTATTGTACCCGAGGGTACACTACTAATGGAATTTCTCAATAAAGCCTCAGGTCTTTTAAGTCTCAAGAACCTGATCTTAAAGGTAATTGATTTAATTGGTCCGTGTTAAATAATTAATTGAACCACTTCATTGTGGAACTGCATGACAGATCTCAATTATCGGCGCACTTGTTAACAAGGAAGATTAACAAGGTAGCATTTTTAATCATCAACTATCTTATTTTACAAGAGTTCTAATCTATTAGACTGGGGTTTATCGTTGACGTAAATTTAATGTTATATGTACTTGAAATTAGCCTCCGAGCTTGCAAAAAAACTTCCATTAATCTACAGTGTTTGCATTTCTTTTGTTTGCATTTTCTTATCTATCTTTATTTTCTGTGTTCTTTAACCAGGGTAGCACTACTCAGTGGCTTAGAACTGCCTTTCAGAGTGGCTCTGGGTACATAGATACAACTTGTATCTATGTACCCAGAGCCACTCTGCAAGACAATATATACAAGACGCAATAAAACAACACTGTCACAATCGTATGTTGGTTTAGTAGGCTACAGAAGTTTCCATCCTATAGCTATTTCTGTTTTTAACTAGGGTAGCACTACTCAGTGGCTTAGAACTGCTTTTCAGAGTGAACCATGGGTACATAGATACAAGACAATATATACAAGCCGTAATAAAACTTCACTATCACAATCGTATGTATGGTTTAATAGGCGACAGTAGTTTCCATCCTATAAGTATTTCTGTTTTTAACTAGGGTAACACTACTCAGTGGCTTAGAACTGCTTTTCAGAGTGGCCCTGGGTACATAGATACAAGACAATATATACAAGACGCAATAAAACTTCACTATCACAATCGTATGTATGGTTTAACAGTCGACAGAAGTTTCCATCCTATAGCTATTTCTGTGTTTAACTAGGGTAGCACTACTCAGTGGCTTAGAACTGCTTTTTAAAGTGGCCCTGGATACATAGATACAAGACAATATATACAAGACGCAATAAAACTTCACTATCACAATCGTATGTGTGGTTTAACAGTCGACAGAAGTTTCCATCCTATAGCTATTTCTGTGTTTAACCAGGGTAGCACTACTCAGTGCCTTAGAACTGCTTTTCATAGTGGCCCGGGTACATAGATACAAGACAATATATACAAGACGCAATAAAACATCACTATCACAATCGTATGTTGGTTTAACAGGCAAAGGGAGTTGTGCTTCCCTCCCACTCCACCTTGGCCTGTTATGACTGAGTTATACATCACCATACCGTGCTTTAGGGAACGGCAGGTGACCTGTATTAGTGGCTTACTGTGCGCCAGAGTATCTCCTGTGGGCCTTACTGCGATAAAGCACCTGCCGGGGACTGTGTGCGCCGATAGCTCACACGGGCGGTGCCGCAAGCCTGGCTCTCTACACCGCTCATTCATCCGGCTTTCTGCCGGGGTTTGTGTCCAAGGCGACGCCGCCGGGTACCCGTAAATATCAGAGGTTGCTGAACAGGAGGGGGAAATGGAAGATCAAGTTTTCAGCGACAATCGTATCCAGAAAAGGGAGGGAAATTTACCGCCGGAGGTTGTGCGGTATAAGGTACTGAACTATGAGAGTTCTGAGAATGAAGACATCATTTCAATGTGTGCCGGTCAGAGTGTGGGAGCATGAAAGAAGATGGGTACAATGTGAAGATGAAACTCCCAGTGGTAGTGAATTCTTGATAAACGGCCGAATGCGTTTCTTATATATCTAACATTTATCTGTGCATGCATACTAGGATATAGCAACAGACTCTTCCTTTATATGTCTACATGTAAGCTATGTGATATTACAACCACAAAACATCCTGGTTTAACTGATCGGGTAGGACGAAGTGTTAATCTTAAAATCTTGACTCAATGGAGAATTATACTGCTCAGAAGAAATAGTACCGTAAAGAGTGAAATACTAGCATTTTACCAGGCGTGACCGTCACCCTATGTGACTCCTTTTCAAGACTGTGTTTCCGTGTTGAAGTGCCTACATACACACGGCTTGACTTCGAATTCACATTCTCCTTGTACGTGTATCTTTTGAAGTTTTTAATAGAATCAAGCCTTGTGTTATCCACACACAGACACACACAGCGCTCACGCGCGCGCGCACACACAAACATAAGGTCATATGCTAAGTCCTGTCCTTGGTGCTGAACGCTATCCACACATTAATACATACGCATACGTACACTCACTGACACACGTGCACTCGCGCACGCGCACACACACACACGCATCCGCTCTCACACACAAACACATAGAGAGGGGAGACGCGAATATACCAGGGCCTGTCCTTGATGCTGAACACTATCCACACACTAATACACACACGCAGACACATACGCGCAGACACACACAGAGAGAGAGACAGAGACAGAGACAGAGAGACGCGAATATATCAGTTCCTGTTCTTGGTGCTGAACGATATCCACACACTAATACACACGCGCGCGCGCGCAGACACACACAGAGAGAGACAGAGACAGAGAGACGCGAATATATCAGTTCCTGTCCTTGGTGCTGAACGATATCCACACACTAATACACGCCTTTTCTCCCCCTGCAGACGGAACAGCTGGTGACGCTGTGGGTTCTGTTCGTGTTTATCGTGGTGCTGCTCATCATGTGCATTAATTTTGCAAATTAGCTCCTTATTTACATAACAAGCCATCCTTGTCTCATACTATCATGAAAGTTCATCTGTGTTGGTAATTACATGTTTAGAGTTAAAACTTTAGATCCAACACGAAAAGTTCTTTCACTTAGAGCTTTCTACCAATCACTCTGGTCTTCCTCAGTAGACTGATCTAGTGAGGCTTGTCACGTGGCTTCTTTGAAGTGTGAAGTCAACACTGGGTTAAAGGTATCTGGTAGACGATGTCGGCCCCCGTCGCGGTTTCCCCTTGTCTCATCCATCCTTGTTTCCCCCCTGCAGACGGAGCAGTTGGTGACGCTGTGGGTTCTGTTTGTGTTTATCGTGGTGGGAAACAGTCTTGTGCTACTCATCATGTGGCTGGAGAGGAACAAACGCAGCAGGATGAACTTCTTCATTCTCAATCTCGCCATAGCAGGTACGACACAACCGTATATGTAGATACAACTATTGGTTTTGCAGGTATAGTCGCCTTTTGGTGGCACGCGGTGTTGCCGTAACTTGCTACATTACACCGAACGACTTTTAACACCTATCCGTTGAACATCTAAGCCTAAACATTGTTTAACGCTATCTATGTACTTTGCAGCGGTGAGTTCCAGTCTACGGTAGTTCTAGGTGTTTAAAACAGTTTGAACACCTCAATCCTTGGTTGATAATTCTGGTACGTGAGCTGGTATTGGGTACTTGGTAGTTGGTGCACCACGAGAAAATTTATCAAAAGTAATGTGCACAAGAAAATTCTTCAGGTGAATACTGTTAAACAAGTACTGTAAGGCCCTGTCCTTGGTGCTGAACCCTTGGTTGTCCATCGTTGTCGATAAAAACTTCTACATGCATTCTTCTCCTCATCTTTTGTGCACCCGCATGTGATTCGGTAGTCCAAACACACACACACACACACTTCTTGTATGGAAGATACTGTTGCTGTTTTACAAACCCTTGTCTTTGCTTCCCTTAGATCTGAGTGCCGGACTGTTTAACGTTCTACCTGAGATCGTGCACAGGTTTGTGGTGGAGTGGATAGCAGGGAACACGCTCTGCAAGATCGTCAAATACACACAGGTAAAACGTTGTGATACAACTTACGAAAATAACTTCATCACATTAGTACAACATAGGATTTACACAACAAGTAAACGTTGGTGGCGGCATTAATTAATATAAGTTGAATAAACCACGTCTTGTGATTACATGTTGGAAATAATAATAAAAAGTAAACGTAGCCACGCTTGAGATTGTGTTCTTCCCACCTACATTGTATTGGCTACATATAGCGGCGACTAGCAGTACTCCAGTCAGAAGCTCTGAGGAAGGTGTCTGATTGACATCAAAAAGAAAGGAAATGAAAAATATTAATAGTTGCATGTTTAATGGAAAGCCTGAAAATCCTACGATACGACCTAATTTATGTTAGAAGATGAACATAGATAAACATCAGTGTCTTCTCAGAAGTATATCCAAACTGAAAACTAAAACATAACTCTTTAGAACATGCTTTGAATATCAGATATACATGTGCACACTAAGACTGACATGCAGGTTTTATTTCGTTCGCCAGGCGGTGCTGCTGTATGCCTCAACATACGTTCTGGTTGCTATGAGCATCGACCGCTATGACGCCATTGTGCACCCTCTCCAGTTCATCAGAGGTAAGGAATAAATGATTAGTTGAACTTGACTTGTTATTTTTTAGTCATCCCAAGATTTATAAAAGCTGAAGTTCTTTACTGATGTGTTCTTTTAAGACAAACCAGACATTCAAGCATACAGGTTATTATTTTCAGAAAGACTTTCTTCATGTGTACAACTCTTTATTTTATGTACTTGACAGACATGAGCTTTCAACCAAACTGTTGTCTTTATTACGGGCCTGGTCACATACGTTATGCGATAGCCCTACATATTCTATGTGTGTGTGTGTGTGTGTGTGTGTGTGTGTGTGTGTGTGTGTGTGTGTGTGTGTGTGTGTGTGTGTGTGTGTGTGTGTGTGTGTGTGTGTGTGTGTGTGATCGGCATGTGTGTGAGTGTGGATAGGAGAACGGCGAGTTCAGCACCAAGGACAGGACCTACCTGAGATATAGTATTGATGATGTTGTTGTTGATTTTTTTATCTTTCTATCCCCCACCATCCCAGAACACAAGTCCAAAGTGATGATCGGCATGGCGTGGGGCCTGGCGTGCGTGTTCTCCGTACCGAGCCCGGTGATTTTCGCGGTGCGGCTGCAGCCTAACGGCGAGCGGCAGTGCTGGGCGGAGTGGCCCGAGGACTGGTACTGGGTCCCCTACATGACGGTGGTCGCAGCTATTGTGTTCTTCATTCCTCTGGGAATTATAAGGTATACAAGGAATAGTAGTGTGCTATATTTTAGAGGATAGTAAAGAGAGGTTTTAAATTATAGTAAAATTGAAACTGCAAATAAGGCCTAGGCTTTTACTTCAGGTCAAAGCGCCACCTGGTACTGGGTCCCCTACATGACCGTGGTCGCAGCTATTGTGTTCTTCATTCCCCTGGGAATTATAAGGTAGTTCTTTCCCAAGAACTGTTAGAGACTGGAACCAACTACCTGAACAAATAGTTAAAGCTAAGGCTCTACAGGCATTCAAAAATGCCCTCAATAACTTGCAGTTTTTCGCACCACAGTTACGGGTACTCACCGCCACCCAGCTGTACGGTAGCGCTGTACATCACCAACAAATTTTACGAAACCAAGCGACCACCCCTGGTCGTAACATACATTACGCTGTCGTATCTAGACTCGTATTGGTTATGTTCACAACAAAAAGAACAAGGTACAACCGACTCATCTGTGTACAGCTAGCTAGTGTATCATCAAATAAAATGTATGTTTTTCTATTCCTTTAATCATCTTGACGTAGTCTTTAAAAATTGAGTGCCGAAGAGAACTTTGCACAGTGATTGAGTATTACTAAACATGTTGTTTTCTTGTTCAGCATCTGCTATATCGCCATTATCGTGAAGATTTGGAAGAGAGGGAAAGGCATGGCGTATGACGGCCACATTCCCCGCAGCCGCGCGCCGAGTGGTGAGAGATTTCACCTGAGCGTTTACCTTACTTAGGTCTTAGTCACATATGTCGTACAATCGGAAACTGTGGGGCCGTGTGGCGTAACGGCAGAATGTTCGACTCGGAACCAAGAGGTCCCGGGTTCGAGTCCTGACATGCCACCGATCTTGTGCCCTTGGGAAGGGCACTCTAAACGACTTTAATCACTTGAAACTCGATTGAAATTGAGTATTGTCTGTCCAGTATTTGTTTCTATGTGTGGGACACAACGCCAGCAACAACTGCCTTTGTCCCACATGTATTTCAGTGTTGCAATATCAATAAATCAAACAGAATCTTAACACTCAAATTAATAAACTATTAATAAACATTTTCCTCTTACAGAACAACAAGACACCATCTGGCTACAGACCCACAACCTTGCCGTCCGGGACCCCCTGAAGAAGACAAAATGGTCGCCTGACACCCAGCGGCGGTGCAGTTCTAACGGCTTTACCACCAGAGCCAAGGCCAGGACCATCAAACTCTCTGTAGCCATCATTCTGGGTACGTTTCATGTCAAAACGTGCCACTAGTTAGCCATGTAGTCAGAGGGGTCCTGTGTAGATAGATGATATATCGAAAGGAAGGCTCCTTTGTACACTATAAGGTATCCTCTATTTTTATATGTTTTTAAAATTTTACTGATGCAAAGATATTCATTGATACAGAGAGAAGGGGAAGAGGAGAGAGAAAAGATACCAGGAGTTGTCCTTGGTGCTTAAAGCTTTCCTTAAAAAACCTACGGGCGCGATCGCGCGCACACACACACGTGCACGTACGTACACACACATACAGATACGCCAGACACTGTCCTTGGTGCTGAACACTATCCACACACGTACACACACCATTTTGGCCACCAATGTGTAGATGAATACATGGAGCTTGACTAAAGTGGGTATTTGTGTTCTTTGGGATATGTCAGTAGTTTTTTCCTTCACAGTGAAGCCATTTCAGTACCACAGACAAAGAATTATTTTACCAATTACTAGTATTCAATACGGGGCTCCTGATTAGTCCCACTCGATTGTAACACGATATCAAAGACAGACTTGTGTTAGCCCTTGTTGTTGTTTGAGTAATGAGGATTTATTAGGTCCTATTCTATACTTTTTGTACTTTATTCATCTGCTTTGCAATACATTTGCCATGTGCAAATGTCGTGCAATAAAGTTCTTCTTGTTCTGTATCAAATGGTAAGAGAAGTAACTTCCAGTTCAATCCCCGTCTAGCTTTCATCTGTTGCTGGAGTCCGTACTTCCTGTTCGACATCTTGGATAACTACAACGTACTTCCGGACACGGCGGCAAAGGAGGAGGCCTCTCTTATTATCCAGAACCTTCCGGCACTCAACAGTGCAATCAACCCTATAATCTACGGCTTCTGTAGCACCAAGCTCTACAGGAAGTTACGGTAAGGTCTGATTTGTACATTTGTACCTAGTTTCGGGTAGGGACGTCCCTCGGATAGGACGTTACATGGAGGTCCCGCGTTTGGGGAGAGCCACACCCCATGCACGTTTAAGATCCCACCACACCTTTCGAAAAAGAGTAGGGCTAGGGGCATGTCCCGGTGTGCGATTGTCCAAATACTTATCTGATTATTCATTAAGGACTCCAGGAAGAGTAGTGTAAAATTCACACTAACAGAGATCCTTAATAAACAAACAAACAAACAAACATGTGATTTGTTAGACCCAACGGTCACTTCAGCGCAGGCTATCGCACTTTTTTGCCGTGCAATTTTCGCGCAGACTATGACAGAAAGAACTGCCGATAGGGACCCAATGCAGACGAGAGAATTTGGCAGTACAGATGCATGACTTGGAGACTAGACGTCCGTTTGTGATTGTATGTGACCCTTCCTTTATTGCCATTCTCCCTACTTTTTTTAGTGTCAGCACCTTATTTCCTAACTAAAATTAAGTCTACTTTTCTATTGTAGTAAGATCGCTATCTTCAACAATAGCGGAATTGACAATTTTAGTAAGTTGAATCAACCCTATCCCATAGCATACTGATATCTGCTAGGAAAACATGCGATGTCGCTGACGGAAAATGGTTTCTTGTTTCGTATCGTAGGTTTCAGTTTATTGAGATACCCTTTAGCCCCAAAAGGGGCTAATCTTTCAGGCCTCCTTCAACAAATATACACAAGTTATACAAGATTTAGATTTAAAAGTCATTTATATATTCTGGAGTTATTGCTTCAATTTTCTATTGTTCTTCTCTCTGATTATATGCGAATAAATAAATAAATAAACAAACAATCAAGTACAGAAATAAAACGGATATTTACAATTACACATACAATTTAATACAGTTGCTTATGAATGTTTTGTTACTAAAATGAAGTCTACTTTTTTTCCTTGTAGTAAGATCGCGGTCATCAACTGGATTGCCGTGCACATATTCCGTCTGCCAGAGGCTCACCGCGAAGGGCCCAAGAGCACCAAAAGACCGGACAGTCTCGGCGCACACTTGGATAGAACCACCGCGCTGACCGACGCCTCTACGGACGTTTCGTCCTGCCGTAAGATCTCCAAGAACTCCGACGTGGTAGTCGGCAGCCCGACCGCCTTTCTGTGCCCGCGAAACGCCGGTGCGAGATCGTCTTACGTCACGGGCAACACCGGTGCGAGATCGTGTCACGTCAGATCGGCGCGACTCTTGCAGGCGGATGACGCGGCGGTGACGTCATCACACCGCCGCCCCGCCCCTCCCATCGCTCTTTGCGTGATAACCGAGCAGACCGCCGGGTCTGAGAGGCGAAAGTCTAGCCAGGAAGTCGGCACGCCCACAAAGGGCTTCGACGCCGTGACGCCACAGGCTTTACTCCGGCGATGTCTTTCCGCAGCCGAAATAACCAGCGCTGTTTGATACCTTCACCTGCATATCCGTCTATTTTCGAGATCCTATATACCGGTGTATAATAAACAGCAAGCGTCGGATCAGCTTCTTTTATAAGCAAGATCAAAGATCTTCAAAATATATACGCGGAGAAGCAGATTCTATCAAGACAAATTTTACCCAGGATTGCGCTTCGTTTTCTTTTCTGATGGCTTTGGATGAACGTTAAGGCTATCAAACATCTGTCATACTGCCCAATCGTAAGGAGATACTTGTCTAGTATTCTGCAGCAAGTACTTTATATGTGAACGCAAGCTCAAACACCTTGACACACAGAGCAGCAGATTTTATCAAGACAAACTTTTTACCCAGCACTGAGCTTCGTTTTCTTTTCTAATTGCTTTGACTGAACGTTAAGGCTATCAAACATCTGTCATACTGCCCAATCGTAAGGAGATACTTGTCTATTATACCATACCCGGGCCGCGATAACGTTCGATAACGGGTTTCGGACCGGGCCGTACTTCACGGTACGGCCCGATCCGGAACCCGTTATCGAACGCTTCCATGGCTTCCATAAGACGATTCGAACGCGTTTCACCCTACCCGCGTGTGCCCCTTTCGAAAATTCGAATACAGAATCCGGACGTTGGAATTGATGTTGTTGCATTTTAGGGTTTAGTGGCACCAACTTTGGGCTCATCTTGCATTGAAAGGCGCGTTTTCTTTGGTGGGTATGGTATAAATAAAATACAACACGGTGTATTCCGCATCGCCCTCGGTCTCGGCCCTCCCGCGAGTCGGATCGCCCTCGGCCTGCGGCCTCGGGCGATCCGACTCGCGGTCGGGCCGATACCTCGGGCGATACGGAATACCCCGTGTTGTATTCTATATGTATCCTGCAGCGAGTACTTTATATGTGGACGCAAGCTCCAAGACCTTGACACACAGAGCAGCAGATTTTATCAAGACCAACTTTACCCAGCACTGAGCTTCGTTTTCTTTTCTGATGGCTTTGGCTGAACGTTTAGGCTATCAAAGGCCTGTCATGTTGCCTGCCCAGTTGTATTATTAAAGGATATACTAATATTCTGCAGCAAGTACTTTTGAAGCAAGCTCATCAAAGACCTTGACATACACAGCAGCAGATTCTATCAAGACAAACTTTACCCAGCAGTGAGCTTCGTTTTCTTTTCTGATTGCTTTGGTTAAACGTTAAGTCAACTTAAGACTATCAAAGGTCTGTCCTGCCCAGTTGTAAGGATATACTAGACATTATTCTGCAGCGAGTACTTTATAGACGGACGCAAGCTCAAAGCTCTTGACATACGCAGCAGCAGATTCTATCAAGATAAACATCAAATGACACCCGAGACTGCACTGCTATTTTCTTTTCTGATTGCTTTGGATAAACATCAAGCCCATAAATTTTTTTCAAGTCGCCTGTCCACTGCAGAGAATTATTCTGCAGTATCTTTTGCCTGGATGTCCAGACGTCAAGCTGTACCCAAGGCTGTACTTTTATGTTCTTTCGCGATTACTTTGGCTGAACATGAAACGCTGTTGGGGTACCTAATTGTATGACTACTAGCCTGTCCAGTTGAAGAGAATTATTCCGAAGAAAGTATCTCTTTCCTGGGTGTTCAAACGTTAAACTGTATGCAAGACTTCGTTATTTCGGATTTTATTTCTCTTCGTGATTTGAAACTGTATGGCTACGGTAACTTTTATTTTCTTTCTTGATTGCTTTGGCTTAACATGAAACGTTGTTCATATCGTCTGACTACTAGCCTGTCCAGTTAAAGATAATTATTCCGAAGAAATTATTTCTTTCCTGTTTGTTCAAACGTCAAACTGTATGCAAGACGACCCTTTTTTATATTTCTCTTTCGTGATTGCCTTGGCTAAACATCACACCGGTCACCATGATGAAACGTCTATCGTATCTATTGTAGGCGCCGTATAGTTGTGAGGATTTACTCTGTACGAGAAATTAGTTTACATGAATGCTTGAACGGCAATACTCTAAATATCTATTTTCTTTTTTCTTTAATCCTTTAAAACATTTAGACCTTACCTTGCTTGTCATATCTATATACTGTCAAGTTGATTGATTGCTCTGGCTAAACATTAAGACCTAAAAAGTATTTCCTATCGCCTGTAGCCTTTCCAGTTACAGGTTATTCTGTTGCTCTGGGTGTACAGATAACATCCAGGGCTGTGCCTCCATTTTTATTCTTGATTAGTTCCTTTGCCTGAACATAGAGACCATGAAACTTAGTGAGCTTTATCATTCACGGACGACAGTATTTGCGCATAGAACTTTTATCGTTTGCCGAGATGTCCAAACTACACTCAAGAATGCGCTTCCACTTTCTGTACTGATTGCTTTGTGTGACTATTAAGACTACCAAATGTCTGTCATATCTGCAGTCTGTCAAGTTGTGAGGATGTATTTTGCTGCGAGCATAGTTTGTCTGAATGTACAGACGACACCCGGGACTTACGTAGTGAATTATCTTACTCTTCTTCTTGATTGTTTTGGCTAGACATAAGACTATAAAATGTCACGTCCTGTCGCCTGTAGGCGGTTCAAGTTGTGAAGGGAAGTTTCTGTAGCAACTATCGTTCTCCTGAATGTGCAAATTTCATAAAAGGATTAACTACTACCGAGGTTTGGCAGCCTTATCCGAAGGCTTGATACTTCCGCTACAAGGGCTGTGGATCGCTCGTCGTAAACCACACTGCGTTATTCTAAAAACTAAGTGGACTTTGCGATTTTCGGGCGGCTGGATTCTGTCCAAATACATTCTAAACTACTTGAAGCTGTATCTTTTTGAACAGAAGTCGGTCTTGTGTTGATGTATACTATATTTGAGGCCACTTGTGTATGGTTTTATCCATTTGCGTGAATCTTGTCCTCACTCTAAAAGCTAAGTGCGTTTTTACGACTTTCGTGTGGATGCATTTTGCTCAAAGGAAAACTAAGAGATGTGGACTTGACGTATAAAGAAACAGCTTGTTTAAAACGATGAAGTGTGGTTGCTAGAAGCCAGGGCTTGTCGTCTTCATGATCATAAAATCTGTGGGAGCAGAAGAGCATACGTTAAAAGACAAAATGTTGTAGAGAACATGGATTTGTATAGTGTAAAGCGTTTGTGGACATTTAGTCATTGGGTTGTGGCAGATTATTGCCAAGATATTTTCAAGATCTTTGCTTTTGAGTTCATGTTTTGATCTATATGTTGCCCAATACATATGCTTGCTGTCTTCTACACACTTTGTTACGAAGTATTGTCTTTGACACATGTTTTAAAACTCATGTTTTAAAACTTTTACCAAACTTTTTTAATGTCCCACACATTTGTCATCTACGCTGAGAAGTTGTCTACTGACTCCTCTCCATAACTATAGTGCTTGCTATCTGATGCTCACAAATCCATGTGAATAAGATAAAAAATAAAAATAATAGTCATTTGCTATGTAAATATCATTAGTATTTTACTATGTAAATTTGATCAATGGTGTCACATCAAATCTATAGGGTCTGATTGGCCATACATAATAACATCTCTAACTCAAGAGAACCATTCCTATTCACAGAACTACCAATAGTAGTTCCGGATTCTTTATCAGTTTAAGTCAGTCCAATAGGAGCTCAGGAATTCTGTGTCACTATGGAAACCAGTCATCACAGCCTCCAACAAACATTATGGTAACAGAAAGTTCTCAGTCTGACAACAATTGGTCCATGTTAGCACATATTGTGCATAAATCGACAGGATTAAGATGATTCTCCTGACTTAGAGGTGTTGGCCACCAGTGAGCTTCTTGAAGCCTGACAAGTGGAAGGGCTGCTAGAAGTGTGATGTAGTCAGGCTAGCGGTATGCTGATATTAATGGTTTCGAGTGGTGTGATATGGTATCAAACATCTCTACGCACATTTGTCAGTATACAATGATGAATTGTGTGTGATTAAGCGTACTGTACTCAGTATCAGATATGGGCATGTTTGACGTCAGATACGTTATCAAGAGAGGAAAGTCTAAATTATGCAGAATACGTGTTTCAAAGATATTAAACAGTATTTATGTATATAATGATATGAAATTATGATATGGCATTAAGTCATATATATCAATAACAGCTCCGCTAGGTAGTAAAGTTGCCTGTTTATTGTTCACAAAGTCTCCATGTCAAACATATATACTGCATGTCAACATTACATACTTCATGCAATACAACATCTGTTTCAGCAATATAAAGCTTATACAAACATCAAATACAATCATTCATCTTGAATATATATAATTATATATAACGTTATAGGTATATTGTGATGGTTTATCACATGATAATCACACTGTATAACAGAGCTTTATACGACCAGCGTACAATTCCAAACTGGCGTTCAACACATTCACACACTGTAATATTTTTTTGGATTATGTATAATATAGAGGATTGGGGTGAGATGTTCTATAGAAAGGACCATAGTACGTACATATAGTACATATCTGTAGCTTGTAAGTGACTGAGTTAATATGGCATATTGGATAAGTACCGTACAATGCACATTCTCATAATCCACATAGTACATTGTGCATTCTTCTAAAAACCAAAATTTCCAGACTCCATGTTCTTGCGTTCATACATTCATACATTGTAATATATTTTTTAATTTGTTCTTCAGAGGGGTTTGGCCCTCTCTCCAAAGAATCATAATATGTGATACCTGGAGCTTCATAATGACTAAACCAACAATATTCAGGATCTTACATGTAGGTATACCATGTACATTTTCATGTTTCAGTACATTTTCATAATGACTCTTTTTTGTGTACACTGTGTTCTATTAATGAACAAAGATTTGTTAACTCCATTCAAACTATATTCTTGCAACTACATCACGCCTTCCAAATTCAGAAATCATCAAACTAAATATTTTCTTTACATCGATTACACTTGCTATTGGAATGATGTGAAAAAGCTAACTTTAAAGCTATTTGGCACTAGTTTTGATTTGTACTTTTATGATCCGCATTATTTGATGATCTGCACCTGAAGTAATTGACAAGGGTAACAAGTGTTTGCCCCCAAGCAATTCACAAATAATTACATTTTCACACTTGATGCTAAAACAAGATTGTGTGACATGACTAGACATTGACATGATACGTATCATTAGTCACTTTATCAACATCATAGTAAGAGATACATGATCAGGGCTACTTTACTTTTAATCAGGTACTTAGCATTGCTAACGTACATCAACTCACGGCGTGACAAACGTATCATACTATCACCTCATCTGTTCTGCTTACTGAATACGATCTGCTTAACTGATAGTGTCTCAGTCAGAGTGAGAAATGAGACTTACGTTCTGCATCATCAAACAAGTTATACATCATTGTGCACGTTGGCAAAACGTACTGCCCCTTTGCGAAATTATGTATTGTGCATAGCACTTCAGCAGAACGTCTCATATAAGGTCATATTCGTGCATATAAGGTTAACACACACACCGTCTGTAGTTTCCAAATGTTGATGCAAAATTCTGATGCAACGTTGACCAAAAATCCAACAAAAACCGTGAAAAATGAGGGTTTTGCACAGGTGCAGTATGTTCTGCCGACATGCTTTATCATATACCACAGTCATTGTGGTCTGATAGGCTTGTTTTGTTCTGTTTATTCGCATTATACACAGACTAGAAACTTAAGGTAACATTTGCAAAGCAAATGCATAATGTTTACCTTCTCATATGTTCTGCTCTGTTAATTCTTACTCAAACACATTCTGAATATATATGGTCAGACAAGAGTCTAAATCCCTCCTGCTATAAAATTGCAACATTAGTGTACCAAGGGCTAAAGGTGGTCCTTAGGCTTTGTTTTCATTAATTTCTGTTCCAGGTAACCACAGTATGTATCTTTCATATAATGCCAGAACCAACAAATCAAATTGGTTTGGCTTTAGTAAAGAAAATTTGTACAAAAAGGAAAAAAATATGTACAGGAGGAGGGAGGAAGCCTACAAGGCTAATACAAAGCCCTCCTTTTCCAAAATTAACAAATATTAATCAATGATACGAAACTAATATAATGATCAAAAATTAATAAACAGAAAATCAAGATACAACAAATAAAATACACAATCATTATATGATCTTATATCAATAGGTAGGCAAAAGCAATTCACCAATAACATAAAACATAACAGGATAAAAAATCAACATACTAGAAACTAGAAAGATCTAACAGCATCTACTCAATTTTTCTTTTCTACATATCAATTCAGATACTAGATTATATACAAGTTAGCCTTGTCTCCATACTCATTTTCAATCAACCAGTCACTTATGAAAGATGCTATCTGAAACGTCGGACTCTTCAAAGATTTGATCCAGTTGCTTCATTTTTTTTCTGTTATGTAATGTTCTAGCTGGATAAAACTTCATAGACAAACCATCAATCCACCCACTGGTGTCTAGGTCTACTATGCTTATCATACAATCTTTACCGTACAGATGAGGCTAATAGCGGCAAAACTGAACATTGACAAGCTACACATACATGTAGGATCTAATGCCAATCTGCTGAGTCACACAAAAGCGGGATTTAGTACCACAATTCCACAACTATCCCAATAATAATAATAATACTGGTTTATTGTTCGTCTTGCACATGTTACATCTCGCAGGGCATAGGCCCTGAATTGGTTGTAACTACAATGTGCTAATTAGTTTAAAAAATTAATTACCCTTGACCAAAATAACAAATATACAAAGTGGTCACCGTGGGACGGTACTCACGACGACACGAATTACTGATATACACATTAAAATTTCGAAATTACACATACAATCAATCAATCAATCAATCAATCAATCCCAATCAATCAATCAATCAAGAACTGTTACATTAAATCAATAGTTTGTGCTTATAAACCTGCATTTCTCCTCTGGTCTCTCAGTCACTGACAAAAGCTAGACATGAAGTGGATACTAGCTGAAAGGTCTGACCATTTCCAAAATCATATCCAGTTTCTTGAGTAACTGCTTTTTGGTGTATCATATTACTTGGATGTCTAACCTTCACCGACGTAAGGTACAATATAGTCTTAGCCATTCAAATTATACTTATAGGAAATTTCTGACCATTTCCAAAATCATATCCAGTTGCTTGAGTAACTGCTTTTTGGTGTATCATATTACTTGGATGTCTAACCTTCACCGACGTAAGGTACAATATAGTCTTAGCCATTCAAATTATACTTATAGGAAATTTCTGACTAATTTAACAGAAAGAGTCTACCGATTGAAGGCATAATATACAGTTCTAGTTGTTCAAAGCATGGTCACAGATCATTTGTGACGCCTACTGAATTAAGGTACAATATAGTTTTAGCCATTAAAATTATACTTACAGGACATTTCTGCTGGTGTGTTACGCTGAAAGGATGTTATATCGGCTATACAGATACAGATACTGAAACAGATCTCTGACTAATTTTACAGGAAAAGTCTAAGGCATGATATACAGTACTAGTTGTTGAGCGCATGTCGTCTGCCGGGGTTTGAGGGAGCGTCACGTGATATGGATGAGTTGGTGGTCTGTGGTCCGAGTACGGTCTCCTGTAGGGTAGACTGGAAGGTACGTCGTCTGGGAGGCATGACCCCGCCCGGTCCCTTCTTCTCCAACTCCTCACAGTGAAACACCTTCACAGCCACCCAGTCCACCCACTTTATTCTCCTGCAAACCCAGCACAATTGTCAGTGTAGCAGCGTCTGCAACTAGAAAGGTAACATTTGCAAAGCAAATGCATAATATTTACCTCTGCATATGGTCTGCTCTGTTAATTCTACTTATTAAACATATTTCATTATATAGGGTCAGACAGGAGTCTAAATCCCTCCTGCTATAAAATTGCAACATGATGTAACCCAAGACCAGTTACCATGGTGACAGACATCTGCTTCAGGTTATTGACCTTATTGGTTTGGAGAAGAAGAGGAAACAGAGCAAAAACAATAAGGCCACACTGATTTATTTCTTTGCTTCTTTTGGAGTTGATTGAGAGGCTGAAATGTTTTCTTTTGTTACAAATCAGAAAAAAACGAAGAGCACAAATCCGTGAACCAACAAACTAAATTGGTGTGGCCTAACAATCATATGTTGATTGAGGTGGTAAATGACATAATGTAAAAATTTAAGCTGTTCTCCATTTGGGTCAGATAGCTGAGGAAGACTGAGTGATTCAGTCGAAAATTCCGGTGAGTGAAATTTATGAGTTGGAGACTGAACAGTTTAAATTTTTCATAACAATCATATGTTTTGTACTAGAAAGAAGCTCCAGACCTGAACTTGGCAGCTGTGAGCCATTGATTGCCCACTAAACTGTATTCTTACCATGTGTATTGTACAATCAGTGGGTATTGCTCACTATAGCACATTATATATAAAAAAAAACTCCAGACCTGAACTTGCCACAGTTCTTGGTGCTGAAGAACCCGTAGATGATAGGGTTGATGGCGCTGTTCAGAGCAGGGAGGTTCTGGATAATCAGAGATGCTCGCTTCTTAGTCTCCGACTCAGGCAGGTCGCTGAAGTTGGTGATCATGTCAAACACAAAGTACGGGCTCCAGCAGGCAATAAAGGCTGGAGACATAAGGAATAACAGGAAAAACTGTCTGACTACAACATCAAAATGTGATGAAAGTTTTTAAAACCCTAGTTCTGCGGTGCCCAACAATTGTTGGATGGCAATGCCATCCATACAGCACCCTGTATAGGTATGATTTGGGGGTATGTCTTGTGCAAGGCATCACACTGCAGTGAAACACAACGAATGCAGAAGTAACTATGCCACTACAGGGCAGAAAAAGCCAGGGGTCTATGACCTGACTAAGACATGATATTATTGAAAATATTTGTGTAAAAATGCCAGCAGAACAAGGGTTAAAAGATAACAATTGGCTGTAGGCTTGAGCTAATATACAGGTGCATTTGATAATGTGTGGATGGTGTTCAGCACCAAGGACAGGGAGGGACAGTGGTTGTGAGGGAGGTCTGATGGTCAGAAACATGACTCATGTCAAACACAAAGTACGGGCTCCAACAAGCAATGAAGACTGGAGAGTGGAGACATAAGGAATAACAGGAAAAACTTTCTGATTCATCATCCATTGTATTCTGCATCTTTAGTCGTAAAAAAAGTGTCCTCCAGCTGCTTTCAGTTTTTCTTGGTTGATCAGGTGGTACCAGTCAATTACTCAGAGACACTCAGTACACATAGACGGGTGGAGGTACACATTAGAAATACCAGCACGTCGGCAGAACGTACTGCGCCTGCGCAGAATCCAGATTTTTCATGGTTTTCGTTGGATTTTTGGTCAACGTTGCATTAGAATTTTGCTTGTTGCAGACAATATTTTTTCCGACATAACATTTGGAAACTACAGACGGAGTGTTAACCTTATATGCGCGAATACAACCTTATATGAGATGTTCTGCCAAAATGCTATGTACAATACATTACGGGTTTCGCGCAGGCGCAGTACATTCTGCCGACGTGCTGGTGGAGGTACACATTAGAAATACCTAATATGCATGCCGATGGTGATTTTTCCTGCCCTGGCATGATTACAGTAGGTAGCTTCATCATCACCAATTAAAGGGAAGAGTTAAGATTAGGATCATCAGACAGGAGCCTGAGGAGGCTCAGACTTGTCTTGATGCCAGGATTAAAATCCTTAGCTAATGTGGCTCCTTCTGGCTTATATGTGGTGCCATCTGTGTAGTTAGGTTTTACTGTAACTTATAGATGGACATAAAAAGCTTGGATCTGCACCTTCAATAATCAACTGGTATTGCATAACTGGTCCAAAGTCAATGGGTATATACTAGTAATATTATAGCATTGTGCAGTGGTTAATAATACAAGAAAAAACAGGGAAGAGTGAGTGCTATAGAAGCTCAGACATGTGTGTTTGCTTTTGTGTGGATAGTGTTCAGCACCAAGGACAGGGGAGAGAGTGACAGTCAGAGAAGCCCAGGGACAGGTGTGTTTGCTTATGTGTGGATGGTGTTCAGCACCAAGGACAGGGGAGAGAGTGACAGTCAGAGAAGCCCAGGGACAGGTGTGTTTGCTTATGTGTGGATGTTGTTCAGCACCAAGGACAGGGGAGAGAGTGACTGTCAGAGAAGCCCAGGGACAGGTGTGTTTGCTTATGTGTGTATGGTGTTCAGCACCAAGGACAGGGGAGAGAGTGACTGTCAGAGAAGCCCAGGGACAGGTGTGTTTGCTTATGTGTGGATGGTGTTCAGCACCAAGGACAGGGGAGAGAGTGACTGTCAGAGAAGCCCAGGGACAGGTGTGTTTGCTTATGTGTGGATGGTGTTCAGCACCAAGGACAGGGGAGAGAGTGTCTTGTAACAAGACTGTCTTGTAGGCTATTGCTATAATTAAAGCTCATCAAGAGCACTCTAAAAGGTTGTTAATGTGATATATTGTGATATCAGTGGTCTTTAAGTTCTTGTTACAGTGGTTGGTTACCCTCCCTTTTAGGTTCAAAGCTAGGATTGGGAAAACCATGAATATCTGTGTATCTGTATAGCCATAGCCTTTGGCATAACACACCAGCTTCAATGAATACATGTCATACCCTCTATCAAGATTTTATGAAAGATAACTGCTTGTGTCCATGGGCTATCATGGCTAGGGCTGTCACTATCAGATGGCCTGACACTTAGGCCACACCAATTTAATTTGTTGGTTCTCGGATTCGCCTCTTCGTTTTTTTCTGATTTGCAAAAAAAAAAAAAAATTTGATTCTGGTCCTGAATCAACTGAAAAATGCTCATGTTTTGCCCCCAACAGTTGAGGAAAGTCCTTTTCTTCCTAGTTGTTACAGTTTTCCCATCTATCATTGCAGTGGTTTGATTAAAAGTTCAAAATTCAATGTTTGAATTTTAACCCAGCCTTTTGTGTTGACTTCATGGCTCATTTTGTAGCATTTAAGCCTATAATAGGATGCCTAGACCTGTTTTTATTTTTATTTTTTTTTGCCCTGTCGCTTCATATTTTTTCTGAAAAAATCCGAGAACCAAGAAATTAAATTGGTGTGGCCTCATCACTGAGTCATCGGCACAGCTATAAATTTGTTCTCTTGACTTTTTTGGGGCTAGGATCAGGTTTGAGAAATACCATCAGAGCTTGAAGCTTACCTGTTATGATGGCCAGCGATAACTTGATGGTCTTGATCTTGGCCTTGGGGATGATTCCTTGGGAACTTGGCTGTCTCATGATCTTCTTCCCTTTTGGTCCTAGTAACAAAACTTGGGCAATTAAAACATAAGATGGCATCATAAAAAGAAGTTGTAGTCTGTGAATAGTTTCATGAGGTTGGTAAGACACTGAGTAAAGAGACTCTTTTTACACAACCAAGTCTTTTATTCAGCCGACGTTTCAGTGACCATCTGTCACCTTCCTCAGGGCAATTCTTACTGGTTCACATTGCACTGCAGCACAGGTGTCGCTGCTATAGATGCATTCCCAAATGTACAATATAACACTAAAAGTCGGCTGAATAAAAGACTTGGTTGTATAAAAAGCGTCTCTTTACTCAAAAGTTGTAGTCATTGTGTTAACAATGTATATATTAAGCAGTTTTATATAATTATAGCTTATAATCTACTTGAATTGATTATTGTACAGGCATATGATTTTTGTTATAAGACGAATTCAGTCTTTTCTGCAAAATAAAGTTCAAACTCAAGTACTGAAACCAAAATGGCATAAAATAAAAAATCTACTTTTCATTCAGACAAAATTGATGACACAACATTTCCAGATATGGCCACACCAATTTAATTTCTTGGTTAACGGATTCGCCCGCTTCATTTTTTTCTGATTTGAAAATAAAAATAAAAATTCAGAATCAACTGCAAAATGCTCATATTTTGCCCTGAACAGTTTAAAAAAGTCCTTTTCTTCCTAGTTTTTACAGCTATTCCATCTTTCAATGCAGTGGTATCATTAAAAGTTCAAAATTCATTGTTTAAATTTTGAACCAGCCTGGTGTGTTGATTTCATGGCTCCTATCCTACCATTTTGGGCCATTATAGGATGCCTAGGCCTGTTTTTATTTTTTTTTTAATTTTTTCGCCCGCCCGCTCCATTATTTTTCTAGACAAATCCATTAACCAAGAAATTAAATTGGTGTGGCCTATGACTTAAATAAAAATGTAAGTTCTACAGTAACTGAAAATTGATTCATTCCCAGGCTAATCTACTTCACTGTCACAAAAATTTGGCAGAAATTTATGAAACATTTAGCTATCTCGCTCCTGGGGTTTATTGCAAAGTGGGTCAGACATGAAATTAATAACAGCAATCACTAATAATCAGGTACCTGTCAGACTACTGACTTATGGACTATGAAATACATGTACAGCAGGATGGACTACATGTAACATATTATTGCTTAACTGCACATCCTTGAGTCTGCGAGGTATCCTTGAGTAAAGTGGAAGTTTTGTAAATGATGGAAGAACACTTAATTTATATTTTGACATAGTTTTTGAGTATTAGGGTTTTCAGAATCTGATAGAGTTGTCAGTACATATGTTGAGTGCATAATATATATTTACTGTGCAACTGTAAGGAAGGGGCCTACATGTCTCTTCAAGCTATCTCCATTTACTGTAATTTTTTGAGAACGCTATTTCAGGAGGCTAGATTTTACTATAATTACCTTTGCGAATTTAGGACAAAACAGAGTCAGTCTTATAAAATGTTGTGGGGACCCCTAATACAGACTCCTAGTATTCAAGAAAGGTATCTCTCAATTTAGCCTAAAGCTTTCTTAGGCCCCCCTATGCCAATCCCTAGTATTGAAGAACAATATCTTGCAATTATAGCCTATAGTCATGTCAGGATCCCCCCATACAGATCCACCCCCTACTGATAATAAAGGTACCTCGCAGACTCCCAAAACAGCCTCTCTTTTTGACAGGACTGCGAAGAACGATACTTTGCAATTTAGCCTATAGTCTTGTCGGGATCCCCCCATACAGACCCTTTGATGATAATAAAGGTACCTCGCAGACTCCCGACACAGCCTCTCTTCTTGACAGGACTGCTGTCATCATCAGCCTGGTCATCTGGCGACCCTTTGTTGTTGGACTGGGTGAAAGTTCGCGGGGTCATGGGGATGCACTTTTCTGTTATTGTCAGGGAAGAGATGGTCGATTTCAATTTTAGTAGAGATCTTCTTCTTTCATACTGCTTATTCCAATAAAAATTGGCTTATTAGCAGCTGCGCATGTGTTAATTACAAAACAAGTGACCAGTACAAATAAAACAAAGGGAAATGAAGGTAAGGCCACAAAGGAACTGATTCTGTGGGTGTAAAAGACAAGACAAGTGATAGAACATTGCGTCGGCAGAACATACTGCACCTGCACAAAACCGTAGTGTATTGTGCATAGCACTATGTCAGAAAGTCTCATATAAGGTCGTATTTGCGTATATAAGGTTAACACCCCGTCTGTACATACGTCATATACTTTCTTCCTTTCTCTAATGAGGCTAATACTTAAGCAGCCGTTAAAGTTGTATCCTGTACCTATGCTTTTATATGGAGCAACAACTTTAAGAATGATAAATGTCATTTTTTATGGCTGTGCAAGTCAACTGGTTATTAAAGAATCTTAATTAAGAAGGTGCACTTAAACCGGATATAAATGTGTAAAATTGACTGCACTAAATTAGATTTTCCCTCACTTAACCTAAATGTACATGGAGCAAAATTAAATTGACTTGATCAGTCTATTGGAAAAGTGGGACAGTTGTTTTAAATTGAAACTAAATGGAATGATCTTAGTTTCACCTAGTTGATAAAGCATAGCATATTGGAATCACTTTTTTTTCTTTTTACCCAACCAGTACACCTGCTAAGTTTAACTTTCTATTAGACACCTTTCTCAGAGCTTCTAACTGGAGTGCTGCTACTGTCCTCTGTGTTGGTTGCGGCATAAGAATAAGTTGGAAAAACTTGGGTGTGCCTTCACCACATCTTGTGATTAAATGTTGGAATAGATTAAAAAAAGCTGGGAGTTTCAGACATTCAGAGCCTTGCCTACCTCCGATAAACTTGCGCTCCTGGACCAGCTCTTTGCTGCGTCTCCAGATCTTCACCACAATGAAGATGTAGCAGGTACTGTGGGAAAATAACCATAAATTCTAGTGTCACAACCAGTGGGAGAGTAGCTCAACTCTGCAAATCACCCTTTCTTCTTCCATACACCACCTCTTAGGAGAACGTTCCATGCTGAAAGCTTCTTTCCAAGAACAACATCACTATGGAATAAGCTACCTCGTGATTGCTTCCCTTATGAGTATAACCTTAAACTCTTCAAGTCTAAGGTCAACAAACATCTGTCCTCACTGGCTGCTCTGTAACCCAAAACATTTTAAGTGGCTCCCATGAGCCTTGTTTTGTGGTGACTGATGAAGTTAGTAAAAATTTAAAAAACTGTTTTATTTGAGCTAAACTGATTGATTTGATTGTTTGCTGGATACCTTTAAACCCAGTGTTGACGTCACACTTCATGGAAGCCATGTGACAACAAATCTCACTGGGTCTGTCTATTGCAGAAGACCAGAGTGACTGGTTGAAAGCTCTGGGTAAGAACAATCCCTTGTGTTGGAACAAAAGTATAAATTCAACATGGTTTGAGATCACTTTAACTATCACTATGCACAGCTGTGTGATTATTTTGTGCATTATACTACACAGTTACATCGTTCTGATTGTGCATTATTGGGTTTGTAGGGATTGTATGTATCGATTTGTGTATTTTATTGTCCCAGAAGTACCTGAAAAATTGGTCAAATGAGTGTAACCTTTCTGGTAAAATAAATAAATTGAAACTGAAACTTTCATATAGCTAAAATCTTTACCTGATGATGACCAGTGGAATAAAGAAGACCAGTGTAGTAACGATGGTCATGTAGGGTGTCCAGTACCAGTCCTCCGGCCACTCTGCCCAGCACTGCCACTCACCGTTGGGCAGCATTCTCAGGGCGAAAATGACCGGACTGGGGATGGAGAATAAGGCAGCCAGGCCCCAGGCCACACAAATCATCGCCTTCGACTTACGGTCTGTGGTTCACAGACAGATGAAGCAAGTAAAAAACTTAGAAAGTAGCAAAGCAAATGCATGATGTTTCCCTTCACACTAAAAAACATATACTGATCAGCCCCTCTAACTCCTGCAATGTCCTGTTATGGCTATGTATGTAATCCAACACCATTGGGTATCTACTGCAGCACCGGTTACCAAGATAACAGCCTCTGGTCCAGGTCAATGACCTTATTTGTTTGGACAAGAAGAAGAAGAAACAGAGCAAAAACAAAACTAAATTTCTTCTGCAAAGACAAACATAACAAGGCTTAAATATTTGAAGGTATTGTCTTTTGCAAACTTGTTCATGAGAGTACTTCAGAATCTGTTTGGAGTTAGGCTACACAGATCATCGCCTTTGACTTACGGTCTGTGGGTCACAAAGAAAAGCAAGAAAAGAATCATGAAGCATTAGTAAAAAAACAATGCTGAAATCCTTGTTTTTATTCAGATTTTATGGAAGTAAAATTAGCAGCGAGTCTGTAGGCCTTGAAAGCAACAAAGAGTGGGCAATGGTTGAGACGTGCAAGCTTCATCACAACCGCATGCAAATTTCAATGAAACAGTCCAATAATTATTCATTTTCTCCTGCAGTCTCTTAGTGTCACTGATGAAAGGTAGTGGATGCTGCCTGAAACGTCAGTGACCGTTTCCAAAGTCATATCCAGTTGTTTGAGTAACTGTTTTTGGCGTATCTAATATTACCTGGATGTCTAACCTTCACCTACGAAACAGTCTAATGCTTCATAATTACAGCAAAAGACACCATCATCTTGACCTCGGATCTTGTCCATTTTGCTGGCTGCATGGGTTGACTACCTTTTGGCAGTCGTTGTTATAGATTGGACGTAAATGGCTTCATCAGGAAACGTGGGATTTGGCGAGTTCCCGTCAATACAAGATGGACAATTAGTCGTCCAGTAAGCTAACGACAGAATGCTCCTTCTACAATTAGCTAAAAGCTGAAGTTGCCCATCCTGGGGGTTGGAAGCTCGTTATCCAATTAACTCTTTACTTAAAGCTCAATTAGGAGGAGAAAATGATGGACTAAATTGGAAAAAGTTGTGAAACAAACTCGGCTGTTAGTCGGCACTTTGCTTCTTTTTGGAAAGGCTGAAACATCTTGGCTTGAAAGTTTATCTGTGTTTGGTAGACATTCAATACTACATTGGATTCAAAGTGCAGTAGGGGCATTATCATCAGTTAGCTTTAAACAATGCTTTGAGTTTGATGTTCAAAGGCTAGTCGTTCAGTGTAATGTAGCCAGCTGCCGCTGCATTGCATTCCTGCAAAGCTGGTTTGTTATGCCAAAGGGTGTTACTATAATAATACCTAATTCATACCAGCTATACAGATACAGATACAGGTACACATTCAAGTATAATTCCTAAAACAATTGGAAAATCCCAGAGTAATGTTATAACAGAGTCTTACCACTGTGTGCCTGCAAAGTTAGTTTGCTATGCCAAAGGGCATCATCATACCAAATTTAGACCTTCCAGCTTAAGACAGATACTGAATACAGATTCAACTATAATTCCTAAAAAGCAATTAGAAAATTCCAGTCTGAGAGTAATGTTATAACTGAGGCTTACCATGTGCAAAGCGCATGGGATGAATGATAGCATCATAGCGATCCACACTCAGTGCCACCAGTACATACGTAGACCCGTACAGAACTCCACCCTGAAACAGTGCAGATATAAGGGTTAAGTTTTCAGTCAAGTCAAATCAAAGTTTATTGCACAACGATTGTTACAGGTACAATGTATGGCAGATATCGATAAGATTGCAAGTTGGTATCAAGAGTTCAATGGGGATAATGTCTCACAAAATGTTGAATAAATAAGAGATAGTACATCTCTACATGTATGTTGTAAGCTATGCTATACTATATTCCTAAAGAGTACAATGTTGTACACATAAGAGTTGTATACATACTATACAGGTTCTATGGGTATTATCTCAGTGATGGAAACATATTTCTATCATAAAGTTATAGCACTTTTATCCCTTCAAAAAGACAGGCATTTCTAGAGCGAAAATTTAAAATTCTCCTTAAAATTGAATTATACACTCTTATTTTGTAGCCACGATCATTAAGTTTGATAGCACAAACAGCAAATTATATGTTATTCGATAAAAAGGTTTATTACAGTAATAGCATAAGTAATGCTTCAGTGATATTGAAATTTACCCCCTGATTATGAGTTAATATCTGGAGATGTTGCTGGGAGTGTTAGTATAAGTCACAAGCTTACATCAGTTACATGTATACTAAATTATACACAATTTCTAATTGACAATTTTACAATCTATCCAATTTTCTTGTGTATCTCATTACCTGAATGCCTAAACTTAATCAAAGAATTTATGCCTGTCTTTTCCATGCTTCTATTAAGGACATGTTGTGCCTATAAAAGCTAGTTTCAAGTCTAAGGTCAACAAACATCTGTCCTCACTGGCTGTACAGTAACCCAAAACATTTGAGTTGCTCCCATGAGCCTTGTTTTGTGGTGAATCATAAATAAAACAAGTTTACCTGTATGTATTTTATGAGCTTGCACATAAAGTCTCCTGCAATCCACTCAACAGTTAATCTGTGTACTATGTCAGGCAGCACATTGAAGAGTCCTGCTCCAAGATCTGTTTGTGACAAACACAAAGAAGATTATGGCTTAGAGCATCATAGCATCATAGTGAATCGTATTACAGACTCTTTCTCCCATAGTATTATAGTCACTCTCTCCCCTGTCCTTGGTGCTGAACACCATCCACACAATAAGCAAACACACCTGTCCCTGGGCTTCTCTGACAGTCACTCTCCACTGTCCTTGGTGCTGAACACCATCCACACATAAGCAAACACACCTGTCCCTGGGCTTCTCTGACAGTCACTCTCTCCCCTGTCCTTGGTGCTGAACACCATCCACACATAAGCAAACACACCTGTCCCTGGGCTTCTCTGGCAGTCACTCTCTCCCCTGTCCTTGGTGCTGAACACCATCCACACATAAGCAAACAGGTACACACACAGGGAAACATACATATCCCTTGTGCTGAACACAATCTATTAGCTGTAGCATCATGCCAGAGTGTGTTTGACTGAATACCATTTAAGCAACAACACCTGATCATTGAAGGTACAGACACAAGCTTTATATGGATAAATAAGTGTTTCCAATTCCTAGGTGCCTGCCTGACAAGTGGAATGGGTAACTCATGACTTGAAGCGTAATACAGTCAGCCTTAATACACCAAATCCTATCATAGACAATCATTAGTCAAGTTGACACAGATCTGTTATAGTTGATTGATCATGATTTGGTTATGATATATATATTCACTACTATGCATTGTCTAATGGGCAGTTTTGTTGTGTGCATTTGGGTCACGTATTTGGGTTGCATCTTTGTGATCATTACCTCCTTTTCTTTATTGCCATCAAAGCTTATTGAGATATGGTTACACAAAGACAGTGAACCGGTGCAGCAATTGATAAAACCATTACTCTTGTGTTGTTAGTTGATGTTGATAGCTATTCTACAAGGATCATTAAAGCAAATTGTTGAAGCATTAGTGTACAAAGATAGTGACCTAGTGTATCAATCAATAGAGTCATTAGGCCACACCAATTTAATTTGTTGGTTCTCGGATTTTTTCAGAAAAAATATGAAGCGACAGGGCGAAAAAAAATAAAAATAAAAACAGGTCTAGGCATCCTATTATAGGCTTAAATGCTACAAAATGAGCCATGAAGTCAACACAAAAGGCTGGGTTAAAATTTAAACATTGAATTTTGAACTTTTAATCAAACCACTGCAATGATAGATGGGAAAACTGTAACAACTAGGAAGAAAAGGACTTGCCTCAACTGTTGGGGGCAAAACATGAGCATTTTTCAGTTGATTCAGGACCAGAATCAATTTTTTTTTTTTTGCAAATCAGAAAAAAACGAAGAGGGGAATCCGAGAACCAACAAATTAAATTGGTGTGGCCTTACTCCTTATACACCATGCTTTTGTAGTTACTTGATGTTGATAGTAGTAGGCATTTCATCAGTCTCATAAGACCAAGAAGAAGAATCTTCTTCTATATCATGTACTTATTCTTTGTATTCTTTGTTTTATGCTTAAAGTGTCTTTTTCTGATGTGAGTCTCTGTTTTTCTTCCCCCCCCCCCCCGTGTACTCCCTTCTTAACTTCCTGTCTCCAAAGTTGATAGTTATTCTTCTAGGTTCAATTGTGTATATGTAACATGTTACACGTACAATACTGTGCTTGGAAGCTACAACTACACACAATTTTTGCAGTTCTAGGAAAAAAAATTCTTCACACCTCAATCCTTGGTGCATGAATAGTACTTGAAGGCTCTTTTATCATTTTGGAACATCAATCGATAGAATGATTACTTTTGATATATCACATTTGCCCTGGTAGTGGATGTCAATAGGTATATGTTTTGGTTGACCATGTACTGTTTGAAGCTGGTAATAATGTGCACCAATTTTTACTGACTGCCAGCTAATGATCTGTTAGACCATAAGAGCCAATGGTGGGGTCATGTGGCGCAGTGGTAGCGTGTTCAGCCCAGGCCCAAAAGGTCCTAGGTTTGAATCCTGCATTGGCTAAGGACATCCCTCAGATAGGACGTTAAATGGAGGTCCCGTGTTTGGGAGAGCCACACCCCACCAACGTTAAAGAACCCACCGCACTTATCAAAAAGAGAAGGGGACCTTCCCGGTGTGAGTGGTTCTAACCTTACAGTCTGGTCTCAGGTTTGACATCTTTGAGAAGGTGATAGTTACCTGTTATGTCAATCCTTCCACAAATGTGATAAATCTTCATAAAACATAAAACAATGGTACTGCAACAGTCGTGTCTATGGGGTGGCAGGCCATGGTCCCAAAGATCAGATAGCACAACACACAGGAATCTTTTCCTGTTTAGTGTAGGGTTATAAATTCACTCATAGATGGCCTCCTTACTCTGAATTCAAAGCAGCAAGACTCACAGTCCCAGATGCCAGTTGAGGGATGAATTATTCAATTTTGACAGTTACATGGCTTTAAATGACTTGTCTAGGTTTTTGATCTGTCTGCTAATGATCATTCAGTTCTAGTTCCAGGTAGTTGAAAGCATAAATCAATTGGATTTTGATTGCTTCTCCATGACTTGGAGAGGCTTGCTAGTATTAGTGTTTTCTCCATTCAGTTGAGCCTCCCATCTTTTTCCTTATCTCAAGTATTTAGTTTTGACAGCTTTGAGATGTTGACAGACACAGACCCCAATCCTTGGTGCTGAACACTATCCACACTAAGGCCACACCAATTTAATTTGTTGGTTCTCGGATTTTTTCAGAAAAAATATGAAGCGACAGGGCGAAAAAAAATAAAAATAAAAACAGGTCTAGGCGTCCTATCATAGCCCCAAATGCTACGATATGAACCATGAAGTCAACAAAAAAGGCTGGGTCAAAATTTAAAGTATAAATTTTGAACTTTTAATCAAACTACTGCATTGATAGATGGAAAAACTGTAACAACTAGGAAGAAAAGGAATTTCCTTAACTGTTGGGGGCAAAATATGAGCATTTTTGAGTTGATTCAGAACCAGAATCTTTTTTTTTTTGCAAATCAGAAAAAAATGAAGAGGCGAATCCGAGAACCAACAAATTAAATTGGTGTGGCCTAAAAAGCAAACAGCAAAGACACACATACACTGACCCTGTCCTTGATGCTGAACACTATCCACACATACAAGCAAATAGCAACCCACACACACAGAGACACAGACCCTGTCCTTGGTGCAGAACTCTATCCACACACAGAAAAACATGCCTGTCCTTGGTGCTGAACACTATCCACACATACAAGCAAATAGCATCCCACACAGACATACACCGGCCCTGTCCTTGGTGCTGAACACAATTCATACACGCACACACACAAATCCAAACAGCAAACCCACAAACATACACTGACCCTGTCCGTGGTGCTGAACACTATCCACACATACAACAAAATAGTAAACCCACACACACATACACTGGCCCTGTCCTTGGTGCTGAACACCATCCACACACAATCAAACATGTCTGTCCTTGGTGCTGAACACTATCCATACACACACACATCAAAACAGCAAACCCACATACATACACTGGCTCTGTCCTTGGTGCTGAACACTATCCACTCAAGCAAAAATCAACCCTGTTCTTGTTGCAGAATGCTTTCCACACATACACAAGCAAACACAAAACAATACCTCCAATTTAACAGAGCTAAAAACAAGTAAATGAACTCCTACCGGCGAGAGCCAGGTTCATAATGAAGAAGTTCATGCGAGTTTTCTTGTGTCTCTCCATCCACATGACCAGTAGAACCAGGCTGTTCCCCACAACAATAAAGGCAAACAGGACCCATAACGTCACCAGTTGTTCTGTCTGGGAAAAAATGTCAACAAAAAATGTTGATGACAATTAGACATCCAGGTAATGAGATACACAAGAGAACTGTTACTCTGAAGTCTGAAATCTATGGTTTCTGGATTTCAACCATTTCAAGTAGCATCCACAACTTAAGTTCTTGTCTGTGAAAATAGTGGTAATATTTTAGAAACATTGATGAAGATTAGACATCCAGGTAATGAGATACACAAGAGAATAGTTAGTTACTCTGAAATCTATGTATAGTATCCACTACTACAGTTTTCAAAATCTATCCAGTTGCTTGAGTAACAGTTTTTATAGGTTTTAAACCTTCATTTCGGGTATCTATGAAATTCAACATCTTTTAGCATAATTGTTGATAGAAATAATTGCATATTATGTTTGGATTTTTCAATACAGAGCAATTTGACTGAACCATATGCTATGCCGAAGGGCAGTTACGCCAGCTAGATACAGATACAGAATGATACAATCTCAGCTATTCATATTTCTTTTCTTTAAAATTTTTCTGTTGTCATAAAAAAACATTACAATGTTCATAAAACATAACAGTTACTGCAGTTTATCTATGATTTAAAAACAATAAGGTCTTAATGATTTGCCACCACATTGGATTTTTTATGTGAAGGATTGGGACTAGTTATCGTCGGCCAGCACATGTAAGTGTCTCACTGATAGCACTTTGATTCAGGTAATAATGACCATGAAATAACCATTAAGTGCACTCATTATCATTATCATATCTCGCTTTATTGCCTAATATAATGGGGTGAATCATATCAAACCATAACCACTGTAGATTTTGATGATCTGTTTTACGGGCACTAATGTGACAAATATATCAAGTTTTTCTTGCCATTGGCTGTTACAGTAATAATAATGCAAAGAAAAGGTCAATCAGCTCGAAAAATTTATGTCCCTTGCAGGGGTCCACACACAAAAAAAGGCTAAGGTTGGCAATTTTTTCTAGGGTCTGTCTAAAAACAGGGAACCCAACATTTTTTTCCTAGGCCTTAAGTTTATTATGTTTACTGATCAGAAGGAAAACATACTGTTTTTGCTCTGTTTCCTTTTTCTCCAAACCAAAAAGGTCAATGACCTGAACCAGATGTCTGTCACCATGGTAACAGGTGTTGGGTTACATTATGTTGCAATTTTATAGCAGGAGGGATTTAGACTCCTGGTCTGACCATATATATGAATGTGTTTGAGTAAGAATTGGTTGGAAAACAGGAAACACAACATCTTTTTTCCTAGGGCCACACCAATTTAATTTCTTGGTTAACGGATTTGCCGCTTCATTTTTTTTCTGATTTGCAAATGAAAATAAAAATCCAGAATCAACTGCAAAATGCTCATATTTTGCCCTGAACAGTTGAAAACAGACCTTTTCATCCTAGTTGTTACAGTTATTCCATCTTTCAATGCAATGGTATCATTAAAAGTTCAAAATTCATTGTTTAAATTTTGAACCAGCCTGGTGTGTTGACTTCATGGCTCCTATCGTACCATTTTGGGCCATGATAGGATGCCCAGGCCTGTTTTTATTTTCATTTTTTTTCGCCCACCCGCTCCATTATTTTTCTAGAAAAATCCGTTAACAAAGAAATTAAATTGGTGTGGCCTTACCTGGTGGGTTGAGTATATTGTTCCTCCCTTTGGTTCCTCAGTAGATGTACTGTTGGTACTGTTGAACAGAAGGTCTGTCACGTTTTCTAGGGAAATGTTCAGCGTCGGCAGGGCTCCAAACTTTTCTGTGCGAGCCCCGGACGTAGAGTTGTCTCCACCTTTGGTCATCGTCGGTGAAAAGTCTTAAAGTTTGTACGTCACAGCTTAACACAGCCCAGGATAGTCCCCCTCACTGCAAACCCTGGACAAAATACATCCTATGATTCTTAGTATTATGGTAACCTATTAGTAAGTACTATTAAATAACTAGATTCACAACCTCATACAGTTGTAAGTCTCAAAATACCACCTGTATGCATGTACACACATTAGTACAGGTAAAATTGGGGATGTGCAGGACCTGGTGTTTTTTATACCTACCTGCACCTAACACTTATACCTGCAGGTAATTTTCAATGTTGACCCTAGCATGTCTAAAACACCAGACATCAAAACTAGAAGTTGTGTTACAGTACCATGGAAAGCCACCAAAATGTCCAAATCAAACCTGGTCTTCATTTTGCCAACACGTACCAAGTTAAATATTCCAAAAGATTTGAATCCTTCTTCAAGTACAACCTGTAGAATTATGCTGTCCACAGGCAGATCTAAACACAGACACAAACAACACCTAAAACACTACTAATAGCCATCTTGAGTAGAGCCAATTCATAACATGGAGCAGTAAAGCCTTATAGAAGGAACAAAACCATCAAAGAGCTATTTGCCTAATCTTGTGCCTTGCAAGCTGGAAAACTACATTGTATGCCATTGGCACAAGGTGTAAAATACACACTTATAGTTGTTATTTATGAACTACAAAACGTTACTATCACTGTTACAGTAACAGTAAGTACCATTCAATGGACAGTTAATAGTCTTCTTACAGCAATGACCATAACATAGACACTTGGATTCCCACTTATAGGGTGATTGCCTGGCAGTTAAGTTAGGATTTGCCACAACTCAATTCAATTGTGCTATCACAGTAACAGTACACTATACACACTATGTACTATAAAATGATTGCCACAGAGTCAAGGTAATGATTTCCTCACACAAAATACACCTATTTATCAAGGTTTTCCATTTTGCATTACATGTATATATACAACCAGTGTGTGACAATGTGTGTTTTACAATAGCTATCACAGTAACAGTTACTGTAACACTACTAAAAATGGTATTGCCGCAGAGTGGAAGTAATGATTTCCTTTCACAAAATACATTGTATCTATTTATCAACTAAGGTTTTCCAGTACTGTATAGCCTTGTGGCCCGGACATGTTTTCACGTTTTATAGGCACCAGTGTGACAATGTGTGTTTTCTATCACTGTCAGTAACAGTAGTAACACTACATAAAAATAGTATTGCCGCAGAGTGTAAGTAATGATTTCCTTTCACTAAATACCTATTTATCAACGTAAGGTTTTCCAGTACTGTATAGCCTTGTGGCCTGGATGTGTCTTCACTAATCTTTTTATAGACACCAGTGTGACCATGTGTGTTTTACAATAATCACAGTAACAGTACACTACATTAAAAAAATGGTATTGCCACAGAGTGGAAGTAATGATTCCTTTCACAAAATACCTATTTATCACCAAAAAGCAGTTACTCAAGCAACTGGATATGATTTTGAAAACGTCATTTTTTATAACTGACGTTTTCAAAATCATATCCAGTTGCTTGAGTAACTGCTTTTTGGCGTATCGTATTACCTGCAGTGGATGTCTAACCTTCATCGGCGTACCTATCTATCAACTAAGGTTTTCCAGTACTGTATAGCCTTGTGGCCCGGACATGTTTTCACTACTGTTTTATAGTCACCAGTGTGACAATGTGTGTTTTACATTCAGTGGCCTGAAGGTAGCGATGCCTTATCTCTACAGCACAGTCCCTCATGGTTATGGATCAAGCAGACACTGGTCATAAAATCACACTCGGAGCAGTGGGTAATGTGTACATCTAGAGGGCAAATCACTCAGTCAACGTACATGGACTTGCTGTCACTTTCAAAAGGGGACAATATAAAAGTCACAACTATATAATATACAACTGTTACAACAACATATCTGTATCGGAATAGCCAGTATAACTGCCCTTCGGCGTAACACACCAGCTTCGCAGGCACGTGGCACGGCAGCAGCTGGCTACATTACACCGAACGACTTGTTACACCTAACCCTTTTACATCTAACTCTAAACATTTTTTTAAAGCTCAGCCTTAAATGATCTAAAGCTATCTAATTCACTATCATCATCAATGTCTTATTGATATAAAAGATGAAAGACTTACTTACCTACAAATTGAGGTAACTCCATACATACTAGTAACATCCATTTTATTGCTGATTCTTGGATTTCAAAATTCTTTGCCAAAAAAAATTGCATAATCGTGAAAACAAAGTCTGGGGACTTACAATTTATGTCTTAGTGCACTGAAGAATTTTTCTCTGTTTCCTCCCACAAGTTTTTCTCCCCCTATGCCTCTCTTTTATATTTTCCAGCTGCCATAGTTTCATCTTAAAGTGTTCAAGAACCAACTAAAGAAACTGTTGTTACAGTAGCCTAAGTTATCCTGTTTACTGATAGGATGATTGGATCTGCTTTAGGAGGCAGTTATAGTAACTGTTATAGTTATAGTCAGGCTTTTATAGTTATAGTCGTATAGGCTGTACGTATAACCTTAACCTGGATTGTGTGACCAGAATGACAACCTAACTGATGAACCAAAAATTGTATGAAATGTAAGTCAATTCCCAGCGGTTGTAGAGTCTGACACTTTTATCATTACAAAATAATGTATGATTAGTTTAATTTTCATATTTGATATTCAGTATATTTTATTGTCTATGCTTTACTTTCATCATTGCCTTCGACTGAAGGCTATGCCTTCGGAGAAGGTTATGAAATCGGGTTTGCACTGTTTGGCAGATTAGGCACGATAACTCTTGAAGGCAAGGTCCGAGGTTCACGATTTTTGGCAGGCAGGTTGATTTAGGGGTGGCCATTGTCCAGGCAAAAAATGGGATTCGTGGGGGGTTCCTAAGTCACTGTAGTTGACCTTGGTTTTTGGTGTTTTTTCCTTGTCATCAAGATATCTCGAGAATCCTTAAATGGATGTTCATGTTTTTTAGTTGGCAAGTTACCATTGACAATACCAAGGTCAAGTTCGGATATGGGCTTCGTGGGGGGTCCCCACGTCATTGAATTAGAAAGTACTGCAGCGAAACTTCTGGTTTTTGAATCTCGTGATATGAACGTGCTAGGGTCATGATTTTTAGATGGTAGGTAGCTCTTGTGCTCAGAAAGAAGTGCCGTAAGTTTGGGCCCCGTAGCAGCTTGTTTGGGAAATACAAAGGCATTTGTTTGAAAATGTTTGAAATAGGATAGCTCAAGAACCGGTTGACGGATTGTTGTTATTTTTGGTATCTCGGTAGCTTAAGTGATGCTTGACCTAATTTGCAGAATATTTTGCTAATGACGATTCAGTTACATAATTAAAGACAGAAGTCTATATATTTGCTGGGTTCTGTGATTAAACAATTAAAATGGTGGCATATGTAATCAAGAGGAAAAAATTTTCATTATGTAAATTGTGAGTAATTAATAGAGAAATCTATATGTCATGCGTAGTCTGTGTGTTGATATAATAGAACAATTTGTATTCCCTTTATAAGTATAGGCAAAGGTTTTGTCCTTGTATATAGGACAGTGTAGTCAGGGTTAAGTAGGTTATGGTAACAAAATGACAGCAAGGGTTTAGAGTTGTTTGTTGAAATAATAGTAATCCTGAAGTGTTCTTTTAAGAAGCGAAGCTACCCTGGAAAAAGCAAGGTAGTAATGTATATTACAAATAGGTATAATGAAAAGTGTTTGAAGAACATAACAAGTGCCTGTTAAACTTTTGTAATTAGTGGACCATGAGACAGCATTCGAAGTGCACGGTTTTTACTATATGGTAAGTTTAACATGACTAGTTATGCGTTTAGTTTTAAAAGTTGTACGATAGTTGAGCCACTTTAAAGAAGTATTTGTCGTCTGGTTTGTTTTTAGCACAAAACTAGATAGGAAGGTCTCTGTTCATTCTATGTAGTAGGTATAGATAGTGTGAACTAGATTCAGGTAAAAACAACACTGGCAGCGTGTAGAGTTTGTTGAAACAACAGCACCCGTGAAGTGTCCTTATAACAAGAGTCTTAATATATTTGTTCAGGCAACAGGCCTGACAAGTTAGTACTGTATATCAAAATAGATGCTAGTTATGACACTTTCTTGGGCGCTTTTAAAATCATATCCAGTTGGTTATAAGTAACTGTTATTTTGCATATCTTATTACTTGGATGTTTAACCATTACCACCACATTCTGTGTGATTTCTATATGCTTGTCAGTGAATTCACCAATGATTACATTAGTTGCTTTAGAATAAGAAGGTTTTTGGCCCCTGACTCACTAAAACATTACCTCTTTGTTTCACAAACCACCAGCCTTTTAGCCTGACTCTTTCATCAGATCGCTTAAAGAAACTATGGGTTGTTTTTAAGGGCAAAGGGCAGATCCACGTGACACATCTGGTACACTGACTGTCTATCACATGGGCACCGTTCAATATAACATCGGGGGTGGGTGGGTGGTAATGCACACATGTCTGTGAATAATATAACATCCATATCATGGTACTATATTGTGCAAGGCATTCATTAAGATGACACATAAAATACGGGGCAAGTATTCGGTTTCCAATTACACAAAAGCAAGTTGAAGTGGTGGAAAAGTTACATAGTCAGCAAGTAAAACAGGCCCTCAGCACTACATTAATTTCCATATGAGAACAGACTGAGGGCTTAATTGTCAACTTCATATGTAACTTCGTGAAGAATTTATCAATTCTTTCAATTATGTCCTGCAGGCCCAATTGTAACCTCAGTCCTGAAGTTCCAGTCCTTACCCTTGAACCCCCTTAAGTCCGGGTCTGCCTAAATACCTCAACCGACCTCAACCGACCGCGTAATGGGTTAATATGCAGTATACATGGGCCAACAACCCTTTCCAACGCTCTGGATACATTGTCTATGCTTGTATGAATGAAAGTTGAAAGCATGAAGGAAGAGATCGACATGCAA